CTGATTGGTTGTGAAGGGTGAATGATCTGATGAGTTATGAATGTTTTTCCTTTCTCGGGGCCTAGTCCACTGTCCGAATTTATGATTCGAGGGCCCCGGGTGAGGGTGATTGTGACCTCACCATTGACGATTTTCCATGTATGTTGCTGGATTTCTTCTGTTTGGTGGCTGCAGGAAAATGAACACGTTCTTGAATATGCTCGACGCCGACGAGAGGGTGACTTTGCGGGACATCAGACGCCGCAAAGTCGTTCAGCACCACTACCTCGACTGGAGGGTTTTCGAGCTGCTGGGTGCTCGCGAGGCAATGGAGGCTGCCATTCGCGCCTTCTCTTGGCGCCGCCTCCTGTGCCTTGCTGAGCCGATTTACAAGGAGCTGCTCTGGGAGTTCTACTCCACCTTCGAGCATTTCCAGACCCATGCTGGAGCGCACGGCAACGCCATCCAGTTCCGCCTCGGCGGGGTGTTCTACTCTCTGAGCTATGACGATTTTGGTCGGGCACTGGGGCTCCTTCCACCGTTCCCCTGTCACCTGGCCATCGAGGAGGCCGACTGTCCCATCTTTCGGGACCAGCAGTTCTTTGAGCGGATTTGCCTCCCGGGGTATGCTGGATCTGTTTTCACCCCGGGCCACACCACGGCCACTCAGCTGCGACCAGAGTGGCGTATCATCAACCAGCTGCTGGGGAAATCTTACACCCCCAGCGAGGGCTCCACCAGTCACCTTCAGCTCCGCACCCTGCACTGCCTGCACTCCATGAGCCACGAGGAGGACAACCTCCATCTGTCCTCTTTCATTGCCCGGACCGTTGCGAAGCATAAGCGGTGTAATCGACCTCTGGCATGTGGGCCGGTGGTCACTGCCCTGGCGCGGTACTACAACGTCGATCTCTCCCGGTTTACTCTCGTCCAGGAGGCGATGCCATTCTCCAGGGACACCCTCCGGCGGCAGCTGATACTGGAGCACGAAGGGAACGTGACCTGGATCCGGGGCCTGCCTCGCCCTGTTCCTCGTGCACCAGAGGGTGAGGAGCCACCAGAGACCAGTGATGCTGCAGCCCGTCGGACCACCCGTCGGACGAGGTCTCGGGCCACTCCCTCTGCACCGGGCGACTCCACTTCCGGTGCCGGACCATCTGCTGCGCAGCCCACTATCTATCTTGCAGAGCAGATGGCAGCCCTTGTCCGCCAGAACGAGCAGATCCTTGCTGGCCAGGAGCACATCAACGCCCGCCTCGACCGTGAGCGCGATGGTCGCCGCCGCATCATTTCAGCTCAGCACTATATGATGAGCTACTGGAACATGGATCCTGCTGCTGTGAGCTATCCTTGGGAGGCATCCCCGGGGCATGAAGACTACTACCCGCCTCCCACTGGCGATGGAGGCGACGAGCTGTGATCTGATTTTACCAGCCCGTCGAGTGGGGCTTGGCTTTTGTCCATCTTTTCAGTTTAGACTCCGGATCGTGTTTTGTTTTTATTTCTTGTTCACGTTGTGTGGATTGTTGACTTGGAACTATGGTATTTCACCCATTGTGTGTGTTCTGTTGGTTCTAGCTCTGTGCCCATCGGACTGGTCCTTGTCCAGTCCTCTGCTTTTGACTGGTCCGCCATCCAGTCAACGTTCCTGCCCACTGTTTCACGGTAACATCGTTCCCCTTCCCTTCGCTCCATTGAGGACACTGTCGCATTTAAGTGTGGGGGGGTTCTTTGTCTTTATTGGAACGTATATATGGGTGCTTGGAGCCTAGTCCGCTGTCCGAATCTTATGATTTGAGGGCTCCAAGTACTGCTGTTTGATCATATTGGCACTGTGTTTTGATGGATGAATTGATTGGTTTTCGGATTAATGCATGACAACTTGTTTGCGACTAGGACAACCTTTGTTGAGGACTGAAATGTGCAGTAGAACGATGTAGGGGTTCAGTTTTTTCAACTGTTTGCTTGCCAACTGTGACTTGATTTGACTTGATCTGATTACTTGTTCTTGACAGTCGTTTATGCATCTAGTTCAGGGTATCAGAATGTGAGATAGAGCATGATAGGTAGCCATGTGAGATTTGAGCCGCTCGTTTCTTTCTTGTGCGATAGATCCCTCTTCCATGATGTGTAGCATTCACGTTGTCACTAGCTAAGATGATGGGGGCATAGGATTAGCCCACGCCCAAAACTGACTGTCCTGATGTGTCTTTTCCCCTAGTCAGCCCCTTTGAGCCGTGTGTTATCCTTTCTTTTGGTCTATAATGGAAAAAATCACCCTTGTTGCATCTTTTAGAAGGTTTCACATAGTGGTTTTTACGTATTCTCTGCTGTTTCTGCTAAAGTCTATGTGAGTGTTGGAGGCAGTACTTAAAAGTGGGCATGTGTTTGAAATTTATGCAGAAGTGGTGGCTCTCTTAAGAAATGAAAAGAAAAATAAAAGAAAACAAAGAAAACAGTTGAAAGCAAAAGAGAGCCACTACCAAAAATCTGAATAATGCCCAGTAAGTAGTGTTTCTTAGCAGTCTGGCTTGGAAATGCTGATGTTTATGCCTCCTTCGCTCTTGTGCTCTTGAGATATTGAGTAATGCAGATTAGCAGAAAGAAAATACCGGTTTGTTTGACTGTGTTTGTGTGTTTGGGAAATGTGGAACCTTTTGCTATGAATATTTCCACCACCTAAAAGGCCTTTTCCCCATGTCCAAGACCCTAGCCAGTCATTTGAACCTATGTCTAAGACCTCCTGATTAGTTAGTGGTGACATCCCATATGTGAACTCTAGCATTTAGAGGCTGCCATCATGGTGAAGAGATGATAGGGATTGAGAGAAATAGCATGCGCATCTTTCGCATCAAATTGTCCTGACCCCACTGGTCGAGAGTGAGTGTTTCATTTCCATTTTCTATATGCTCTTGTACCCCGGTGAGGACCTAGATTGCTCGGTCTCTATTCTGATATCTTGAGTTGGATGCATGAGTTGACTGTTTTGAGTAAGTGGTTGAATCAAGTCTAGGTTGGCCAGTGAACAGAAGGGAGACTCTTCCTTTACTCGATTTACTGCACTCGATGTCCTCTGTGGTGGTTGTCCAGGTTGTTATTAAGGTTGTTCATGTGTTGATGTTTGAAAACCAGTTTGATTCACGTGTTCTGTGCCTTTATGACTTGTCCCCAATGTTGGTTGATTGAAATATGTAAGCTTACCTAGTGTCTGACTTGGTTTGCTTGGGGACAAGCAAACAGTTAAGTGTGGGGGAATTTGATAGCATCGTATTTGCACGTGTTTTCACTCTGGTTTCCTGTCCATTTTGGCTCAAATTGATTGTTCCTTGGCCTATTTTACGCTAGGTTGTGTTCCTTTGTCACATTTCAGGTCCTAGCACATAAAGTGAAGCATAGGCGCAAGTTTCAAGTCAATCAGAGATCAATTGACGATTCGGGAGAAGAAACTCGGGTATGACCTGAAGAAGAATGGATTTCTACCTCACTTTATGGACAAAGAATCATGCAAGCTTGTCATGAAAAGAAAGAGGACGAGACTACAAGCGTCTGGGTTCAAACGGCGACTGATTTGGAGTCCGGACGAGGGAGAAACGAAGCTTTGAACAGGAGCGGAGACAGAATTACGGGCAGCCCCTGCCAAATTACGGCCGTAATTGGCCAGGGCATGCCCGTAATTTATTGGCCGAGCCTTCTACCCAGAATTCCCTCGCGGTGATAAAATTACGGGCAAGATCCCAAGAATTACGGCCGTAATTCCCAAATTACTGGCGGTAATTTGTAAATTACGGGCGTATCTCCTCCCCCTGCAGCCTAAGTGAAACGTGCGTTTTGGTGCGAATTACGGGCAGGAAGTGATTACGGCCGTAATTCTGCCCGTAATTCGCCCAGAGTCGGGTTTTTGGAGGCAGATTCGAGCCAAGGAAAGAGAATTCGATTTTCTGGGCAAAAAAACAGAGTTTTAGAGAGAGAAAGAGCGAAGAACAAACCCTAGGAGCTATCTTGGAGTGGATTTATCATCATTGAAGCCCGGATTGCGTCCCTAGGAGTGAAGATTGACATCCCAGAGCAGATTTTCCTCATCTTTATGAGTATGGCTACTCTGATTTCTGTTTTCCTTTCTCTCTCTATGGAGTAGAACCTCTCTCTCACTTGGGTATGAAGAACCCTAGTTCCTGATGTTAGGGTTTTGATTGTAATGACTTGGGAATGATATTATTGTTTGATTTTAATCGAATGTCGCATGTTTCATGAATTGATTTGAGTCTGATCAGCTTGTTTCAATTTCTGCTTCAACCTGAGATAGATAGAATCTGATTAGGTTGTTAGAGCCTCTTCATTCGATAGTAGGAGATTGGCTATACGAGAGTTAGCCAGTTTACTGCTTTGTACTGGTGTTCTTAACGCCAGTAGTGGAGTTCTGTGTTTATAGCCTCAGCTTTCTATCCCGGTGAAGACTAGTCGTCTGCCGGGTAGTTAGACTGAGAGGGCTTGGTCAGCTTAAGAGATTCCAAGCTACTGTCGGATCTTCCGCAGTCTAATCAACAGTAAATCAACCCAGGGAATTGCAATTGAACCTAACTAAGGGGCTAGGGGGATTCAATCCCGAGTGACTCTTAACTGCTTTTGAAAACCGAACCATTTCCTGCTTTCTTACTGCTTTTGCTTTAAACAACACTCACTCGACTTAGTTTGCTAGATAATAGAGAATCACGGAGTAAGCAGTAGATCTAGACCCCGGGTTGATAATATAACTTGCCTGTTACTGCATTCCCGGACTGCGATTACACTTGGTCGCAGTTTGGTGTTGTGTTTTGGCGTGTCACTCGGTCTTCAGGTTTAGGTACTAATTCCCACACATTTGCACGTTCAAACTGGTTCATTTCTTCAAACATAGAAGCTGTCCAGAATTCATCCTGAAGGGCTTCTTCAATATTTCTAGGTTCGATTAAAGACACAAAGGCAGCTAAGGATGGTAAGGTTTTAGAGCGAGTTGTCATACCTTGGTCTAATGTTCCAATAATCAGACTGGGAGGGTGTCTCTTGACTATGTGTGGAGGTGGCTGCATTGAATTTTGTTCAGACTCCTCTTCCCTGATAACTTCTATCTCCTTTGATTGGTTAGAATCTGACACTTCTTTTTCGTTGGATGCAGATCCTTCTGAGCTCTTCTCTTGAGATGCATTTGTCAGATCTGGCTTCTCTTGCATGATACTTGTTCCAAGTCCAAAGTCATCATCATCGAGTGAATCTGAACACTCAACAATACCCTCATCAAATATTACATTGGCGGACTCCTCAACCTTGAGGGTCCGCTTGTTAAAAACCCTGTATGCCTTACTTGAATTTGAGTATCCTAAGAATACTGATTCATCAGATCTGGCATCGAACTTCCCTAGGTTATCCTTAGTATTCAGGACATAACATTTACACCCAAAGGGGTGGAGATATCCTAAATTAGGCTTCCTTCCTTTCCATATTTCATAGGGAGTTTTATTCAAGATTGATCTGATAAGAGCTCGGTTAGTCAGATAACATGCCGTGTTAACTGCCTCTGCCCAAAAGTACTTAGGTAGATTATAGTCATGCAGTATTGTGCGAGCAATGTTAATCAAGGTTCTGTTTTTACGTTCCACTACTCCATTTTGTTGAGGGGTTCTAGGGGCAGAAAAGTTATGAGAAATTCCTGATTCATTGCAAAGATGTTCAAACAAATCAGAACAGAATTCTCCTCCATGGTCGCTTCTTATACTGGCAATTTTGCTTAACTTCTCATTTTCAACCTTTTTAACAAACGTTTTGAAGTTTTCCAAAGCTTCATCCTTTTTAGCTAAGAAATATACCCAGGTGAATCTAGAATAATCGTCCACAATGACAAAAGCATAGGATTTCCCACCATAACTGACCACATTTGCAGGACCAAATAAATCCAAATGCAATAACTCTAAAACTCTAGAGGTGGATATAACTGATTTACTTTTGAAACTTGTTCTGGTTTGTTTTCCTTTAGCACAAGCATCACATAAGAAGTCCTTCTTCTCGTTGATTCTTGGCAAGCCCTTAACTAAGTTCAGTCTGGCCAGTTTGGATAGGACAGCAACATTGACATGTCCAAGCCTCCTATGCCAATCTTGCTGTTCATTAGATTCCATGCTTACTAAACACATTTCATTAAAGCTTCTCTTGTCATTAAGATCTATTGTGTAGATTTTTCCATTCCTCTTTCCAGTGAATAGGATTTGTTTGCTTTTGACATTTTCCACATAACAACAAGTAGACTCAAAAATCACTCGGTTTTCCTTTCCACACATTTGACTTATTGAGATTATGTTATGTTTTAATCCTTCCACAAGCATCACATTCCTTATACAGGGACTAATTCCCACTTGACCCTTGCCAATAATTTCAGCCGAGTTGTTATCACCAAAATAGACTCTACCAAAGTTTCCTAGCTTAATTGATGAGAAAAGAAGTTTATTACCTGTCATATGATGTGAGCACCCGCTGTCCATGATCCATTTTGTCACCTCCGTGCTCACTTGAAGGCAACACTGTACATACAACATTCATTTTGTTTTGCAAACCCAGATTTTCTTGGGTTCCTCTGTGATTTTAGAATAATTTCTGTATTCATTAGTAGCACTGTTCTTAACATTATTGGTTTTGGCTATCCAGACTTGTTTAGTTGGACACTGACCCCAGGGTGCATTTCTATTTCTCATAGTTTCTGGTCTAAGTCTTCTTCTACAATTCTTAATCTTGTGCCCATATGAGTGGCAATAGTAACATTCTAACCTTCTTTGACCACGATTAGTACTTTTTCCACGCATATTTCTACTTTCTTGTAATTCTCTTGTGAGACCTTCGTACTTTAATTGCAATTCTTCCTTTTCTTCTTTTGTATGCATCAAACTAGTATTCAGTGTGGTCTCTCTATGTTTGCTAAGTTCTAATTCCTTTTCTAATTCAGTTAACCGTTTGAGATTAATCTCATTTTCTCTTTTTAATGTGCTGTACTTGTTTTTAACATTTTCAAATTCTATTTGAATGTCATTAATGATTTCAACCAGTATTTCATCATCAGTGTTGTATGACTGTTCTAGTTTAGATGATCTTACCTGGGATAAGGATGCTGGTGATTCTGAAACTTCATCTTCTTCCTCTATTTGAGCAATCGCCATGTATGACCTGTGGATAGTTACTTCATCATCTTCTTCATCTTCATCCTCACTGCAACTCCAGGTTGCTGCCAGGGCTCTCTCCTTCTTCATCTGAGGACACTCAGCTTTAATGTGACCCATTCTGCCGCATTTAAAACATCCTGTAGAATTTATCCCCTTCGATACTGGACTTATCTCACTTCGATTTCTTACAAAAATTTTCCCTTGTGAAGCTTTTCCTCCATCATTCTTTTCGAACTCCTTTGGCTTATTTCCAAAGTTTCCTTGTCTCTTTTCTTTCCTAATTCTAATCAATCTGCTTATCTGCTTGCTTAGAAGAGCAAGCTCCTCATCTTCCAATTCCTCAAGTTCTTCAGGTTCCTCAGCATAACCAGTTGCTTTGAAAGCCACTCCCCTCTTTCCCTTCTCGCTAGTTTCCTTCTCGCTTCCTGTCTTAGTTAGCTTCTCTTCATGTGTAGCTAGTGATCCAATCAATTCATCTATGGCTAACGTCTCCAAATTTTTTGCTTCTTCTATAGCTGTGACTTTTGGAATCCACTTCTCAGGCAAACACCACAAGATTTTTCTCACCAAATCCCCACTTTCGTATGACTTCCCTAAATTTTCCAGACTGTTCACGATATTTGTAAATCTTTCATACATTTGCCTGATCGATTCACCCTCTTCCATCTTGAATAACTCAAACTGATGTTTCAACGAATTTATGCGAGAGGTTTTAACCTGAGAAGTACCTTCATACGTGACTTGCAACTTGTCCCAAATTTCTTTGGCAGTCTTGCATCCAGCCACCTTGTGGTACTCTTCTGGTCCTAATGCACAGTACATCAGGTTTGTCGCTTTGCAATTCTGTTGAAACTTCTCAAAGTCTTCGTCCGACCATTTTTCTTGGTCGTCCTTGAGTTCATGAGGACCCTTGATAACTCTGGCCCATAATTTCGGATCTGTTGATCCGACGAACAACTCCATACGATTCTTCCAGTACCCGTAGTTTACTCCTTCGAATCTTGGGGGTCGATTTTGAGAGAACCCATCGGCGAGATACAGAGGAGCATTTCCCGTTGACCCCGACGCCATCCTTGGATCTACCAGAGGTTGTTAAGCCCTTTAAAACTGGTAACGGGGCTCTGATACCACCTATTGAAAGCTTCGAGCGCGAGAAGCTTGCTTCACTTTCTTCGTCGAAATCGATTCCTGAAAGAACCCTAAATCGTCTTTTGGGAAGAACAAGTGAGTGCGAAGAGTGAAAGAGGTTTTGATCGAAAATGGCTTGGGAAACCGACTGAATAAGTGTTGGTACTGAACTGGGTCTTTGATTAAAACAATTGGGCCCAAACTTTATCAAGCCCGTTTACCCCAGTGGTTATTAAAACGCTGCACTTTTACTTAACCGTATCACCTGTATTGTCTTCCTTTGCTAAGAGAGGAGTCTCTGTGGGAGTTTCTCGTTCAAGACCTGCAAAACAGAGTAGGTGCAACCAAACAGAGTATATCTACCAGAAAGAAGGATTACGAAGCAGAAATTAAAAGATGCACGCCCAGTTTTTACGTGGTATCCAGTATTGGGAAAAAGAACCCCAATACTGACTAATCCACGGTTGGAATATCACGATCTTGTGATTTCCAACGATCCACTAATTCTCTTGATATGTTTCGTTGATCGCACTATGCTATCCTGCTTAACCTGTCCTGTCCAGGAAGGTTAATCTACACTCTACAAATGGAACTTGTGACCTGAGCTCTCCAGCTCCTGCGTTGTCCAACGCTTCTACTCTCTAACACTGTTTCTCTCCAGATTCAATGCTAAAGCTCTCTTTTCGCTATCAATTTACAGTGCTATTTCCTTAGCCTCTCCTGTGTATCTTGATCTCCTCGAAAAGTGCCTCCTCATTGATCTTGATCAAGCTATATATCATGCCACCCTCTAGCCGTTGGGTTCTAAGAAGGTAGGTCTTCCCTTTTGAATTCCTTCCTTATGTGTCACGTCCTCTGATTTGCTCAATCCTTCTTTCCTTGCATATATGATTCTTTCCAAGTGCTATCACGATTTTATTCCCCTGTGAATTGAGGTAAGTGACTGGCTTTCTTGACAACATTCCAGTAGTCACTCACAATGCAAACTTGTAACACCACAACAGCATCAAGGCATCAATTCTGTTATGGTGTTCACAACCACTAGCGGATCTAGGGGTGGCCACCCCGGGCCACGACCCAATCTTCCTCTGGATCCGGAGTTAGTATAATTAACCCTTATGAAATTACCGATTTTAGCCAGTCGGCCAAGTGTTATTTTATAATAAGATTGTGTGTAATTGAGAAAATGAGTTAGATGAATACATAGGCGGAGGCAGACTACTTTGGATGTGTCCTAGGACACATGTGAAATTTGGGGGTAGAGAAATAATACCCATATGTGTATCAAGTTAGAGGTGGAAATTGGTACGATATTTGGTATCGGAATACCAATAAACGAAATCTTAAATACCGAATTACATCATAAAATTAATGTCAATCTCAATCCCTAAATAATTTCGATATCTCAATCTCTAAATATTTTGGTATCACAATCGATATTATCGAATACAAAATTAATTACTTTTGCAGTTAATAATTAAATATATAAATTTAATTTAATTATTTAATTTAGGGCAAAGAGACTAAGCAACGAGTATTGAGTTTGCCTAGAGCTAGGATATGGATAAGGAGAATGGAGGAGAGGTGACATCTCAAACTCTTATCATTGGTAATCTTTAATATGACATATTGGAGGCTGAGAGACAACTAATACTAGTGTTTGTTTTTTGGAGTTATGAAAATAACAAAAGATTAGGTGAGAGACGAGAGCGACTTAGAATGGAAAGTCAAAATTGTGTTGGATGGGCGCTTCTAAGTTGTGAAAGAGTGAGGAATGACCTAAGGTTGTGTGCTATATTTCAGTAATTTTTAACTTTCGGTATTTCGATATATACCGACCCCAATCTCGTAAACCTGAATACCGAATAACACTTGAAATTGAATCCCAATCTCAATTCCTAAAAAATAAACCGGTATTCGATAATACCTAATAGTGATAAATTCGGTACGGTATACAGTATATCCCAAATACCGGTAAACTTCGAGCCCTATATAATGTATTGAACCCTTGACTTTTTGGATAATGAATAAGTATCATATCACTAAACTAAAGATTATTTCATGTTTATTTTCAATTTTATTAATTAATTTTATTTATTTATATTCTGAGAAGAGGACACAGGTATGTTTGAATCCTGGCTTCACCACTTGATGAATATATTCGGGTTAATTGCAAGGATGGTCACTGGGTTTATTAAAACCGTTCATGTTTGGTCACTGCAAATATTTAATTCCATTCATGGTCACTAAGATTAGTTCAATAGTTCAAGTTTGGTCACTCTCCGTTAGTCTCCGTTAGTTTTTGCTGATGTGGCAGTCAACTATTATAGTTGACCGTTAAATGAATGACGTGACCATTAAAAAAATAATAAAATAATAAAATTTAAATATTTACAATTTCCACCTCATTTTATAACTATTAAAAATAAAACTTACCTCCACCCAACGCCGTCGTCGCCACCACGGATCTCTTTTCTGAAATTTTCCGAATTACCGTCCATTCTTCCTCCGACCTCTGTCAATGTCCCCGAAGTCGCCGTCGCACTGTCACCCTAGCCCCACTTCTACTGCTCAGGCATCCTCCTCCTCTCCTTTGGCTACTTCTCTTCTCTGTTTCTTTTGTGTCATTAGAAACAGCTCAAACGCCAAAGGAAGAAAAAAAGCTTGAGATCGTTTTTTCCATAGAAAAAATTTGCTGTTTGAGCTGTGGTAGACTAGAATAGCTAGCGCTAGAGAGGCGAAAGAAAATCAATTTCATTCACCTACCCGAGAACCAGCGGAAGAGCTCCCTGATCTCTTCCCCGTACCTATTAGCCTCCTCCACGTCATACTCCGCCACCGCTGCTGCTTCCCCGCTCCGCCAGCTGCTCAAGAACCTCCCTGAGCTCCGGAACCACGACGACAGCCTGTCCACGCAATCCTTGAGCCAGCTGCTCCTCCCCACCTCCGCCGCCAGCTCATCCTCCTTGTTCTCCGACACGCTTCTCCTGTGCCCCACGCTCTGGACCTCCGTTACCACCTCCAATTCCTCCTCCTCCTCCACAACGTAGTCGAAGGACCCCATGGAGTAGGATCCCCCGCGGCGGACGTCGTCCCCCTGCCGCCGACTGACGGGGCCGACAAACAGCAAAAAAATTTCTATGGAAAAAACTATCTCAAGCTTTTTTTCTTCCTTTGGTGTTTGAGCTGTTTCTAATGACACAAAAGAAACAGAGAAGAGAAGTAGCCAATGGAGAGAAGGAGGATGCCTAAGCAGTAGAAGTGGGGCGAGAGTGACAGTGCGACGGCGACTTCGGGGACATTGACGGAGGTCGGAGGAAGAATGGACGGTAATTCGGAAAATTTCAGAAAAGAGATCCGTGGTGGCGACGACGGCGTTGGGTGGAGGTAAGTTTTATTTTTAATAGTTATAAAATGAGGTGGAAATTGTAAATATTTAAATTTTATTATTTTATTATTTTTTTAATGGTCACGTCACTTATTTAACGGTCAACTATAATAGTTGACTGCCACATCAGCAAAAACTAACGGAGACTAACGGAGAGTGACCAAACTTGAACTATTGAACTAATCTTAGTGACCATGAATGGAATTAAATATTTGCAGTGATCAAACATGAACGGTTTTAATAAACCCAGTGACCATCCTTGCAATTAACCCGAATATATTCAAATCACAACTTTAAATTTAGCCTAGAAATTCTAGCTCTAGTGATTCTCTTCTAAAGAAAAACAAACGATGTAACCTAAATTACTAGAGCAGCTGGTGGAAATAGGGATGAACACACAATGCAAATTGATTAGTAGATTGATTTGTCTACTGTTAGCATTGCTCGTTTCAACGACGACTATGGAGAAAACCTTTTCCGCAATGGAACAGGTGAAATATGATTTGCGCAACAAAATGAGCGATGAATTTCTCGCTGATTGGTTAACTATTTTATTTGAAGGAGAGTAGAATGCTATTGGTATGGATGTAGACTCCATTATTGATGAATTCACTATATTAAAAAAATCGGCGTGTACAATTGATCTTGTAAAAAAAAACTAAAAACTATGGGATTTTTTTACAAAATCTAATTTTCTAATAAAATGCGGGCCATTGCTCTATTATGTCGTAGATCCGCCGCTGTTGACAACCCATACGTGAGAACCATCTCACATGTATGTACGAGCGCTTCGCTTCACTCGACCGCCAGATGAATAATGCAGTGACAATTTTTTATATGCAAAAAATTGTCATCTAATTAGTCAAACTCTGCTCATATGTGCATAATGACAGTGAAGGTTGTGGTTTGGTTGAACAATGTTGGGGACAGGAGTACTATGATATGATGCGAGCTAGCTAGGGTATAGTGTGCGTTTAGATCCATTAACCCATAAGCACGAAGAGAAAAGGGCTCGGGAATCCGAGGCAGCAGCTATAGCAGAAGAAGGAGAAATGGAGTCGCTGTCTGCTGCCTGCCCTTCTGCCAAAGTCATAAAAACTGAAGAACCGACAGAAACAGAAGTCCTACTTCTGCACTACAAAAGAAGCAGCAGCTGCTGCTTTTATGAGCTAAGGCTAAGCGCTAGATCGGAATCAGAATATAGGGAGAGGGATTGGAACCAATAGCTAGCCAGCCACTGCCAGTGAGCCAGAGCCCAGAGGGGACCATTTTAAATTAAATTAAATTAAATTAGAGAGAGTTGGGTGGTGGTGGTGCAGAAGTCGGTATGCTGTGTATTTATGTGTATCGGATGGGGCGCTGGCTGGCTACATCCTTTTTCAGCTGCTGCTGCTGTGGCCATGGCTGCGGCGCTCTGTTCTCTGCGTTGCTGGCCGGCCGCCTGGGCGCTCGAAAGCTACTCTCGCCCCCACTTGCATGCGCCAACGATTCCTCACCACTCAACATCAAATGGTTGTTGTTTGTGTTAGTAAACGGTATATGATCCACGATTGAATCTCTCCCAACAACTTGAGTTATTGGAATCAACTGGTTCTTCACATGGTATCAGAGCAAAGTTGTCAACCCACGAGTCAACCCGCGGGTCAACCCGGATTGACCCGGACCCGCCCCAAAAAACGGGCCAATGCAACCCTTTTGACAGTCAGCCCGGACCTGGTCAAACCCGGGAAAACCCGGTCAAACCCGGGTAACCCGGGCGGTTCGCCCATCCAGAGCGGGTCACTGGGTTCTTCTCTTTACGCTGCGTTTGACACTGGCGCGGCGACGTTTTGGCCGGGAGAAGGCGGAGGGCAGGGTCTGAAATAAAAAAAAATCCTATCATTCCTGATTCCTTCATCGCACGAACTCTCCTCTCCATTCTCGCGGCGCAGCCCTGCCTCCCACCCCACAGGCGCCGCTCGATCGCCATCCCCGGCCTCGTTCCCCTTCGTCGGCGGCAACTAGCTCCAGCTCCGCTCCCACAGCCGCTCGAGCTCTGTCCTCCGACCAATCTGAGTTTGAGCGCCGCCATCTGCCTTCGACCACTCGAAACCTCGAGCTTGGCCGCCATCAACTTTCCTCTGCCTCAGGTCGGGTCGGGTCTCGTCGCCATCTCCAACTCGAGTTCGACCTCCTCCCTCTATTTGATATTCGAACTCAAATTGGTAAGGGTTTGGTTGATTTTATTAATTTATGAATGTTTGGTTACTTTTGGAAGGTGGTAACACGAATTAGATTGCCTATATGGAGAAGTTGAATTAATGAATTGTTATTTGCTAGTTAGGGATTGTTGATATTATTTAAGTGTTGTAGTTGAAGTAGTGTTGCATTTTTTTTTTATGTTGGATTCAGGATAAATAGAATATATTGGCTCTTTTCATATTTCCAGGCTAAGTCGGGCTAAACCGGGTGACCCATTTGACTCATGACCCACTAGCTCGTCCGGGTCCGGGTCGACCCGCGGTTTGACAACCTTGTATCAGAGCCTTCTGTGACCACACGGTGTCCGGACCTGTGCCTGTCCAAACTCCAAGCCTATCCGAATGACTTTGAGTTTGAAGGGGGGTGTTAGTAAACGGTATATGATCCACGATTGAATCTCTCCCAACAACTCGAGTTATTGGGATCAACTTGTTCTTAACAGTTTGAACATATACAAGCTAAGGCCCCGTTTAGTATTGTTGCTTGTTTCTGTTTTCTGTTGTATTTTTTAAAATTGTAGAAACCAAGGAAAAAAACATGTTTAGTTGAGTTTTTAATTTTTGTTGTGAAACAGATTTACACAACCAGACCAAAATTAAAGAAACAACAAAAGATTGCTTTGGATGTGTTTCCCCTATCTGTTGCACACGAGTTTTTTTATAGGTTTTCATTAAAAGTTTTTTTCCTTTCTCTTTCCCAGCGACGCCCTTTCTTCTTATTCTTCTTCTCCTCCATTTCACGACCCATCGCCTATGGCCTCCCCTCTATCATCTCTGACTTGCCGCCTCTGCAACTCTCTCTCATCATTCTGCCGCTGCTTTAGACCTCTATCATCCTTCCGCCGTCAAACTCGAATTCACCGGCGGTAGGATCCTAAAAATCCCCGTCCTTTTCTTTCCAATTCAGATCCCACTCGAAATCCCCTTCCTTTTCTTTCTAATTCAGATCCCACTCCTAATCCCCTTCTTTTTCTCTCTTTGCTGCAATGGTGATTGGTGAGACAGGGGAAATCGAGACGACTTCATTTCAGGGGCCTGTGGGGCAGTAGAAGCGGCTTCTTCAGCTTCAAGGTCGGGCGGTGGCTTCTTCCCCAGGGTCGGGCGTAAGATTCCCCATTCCAAATCGACAAGTTCACCTCAAGAATAGGAATAGCCGAGGACGGCCGCCACTTACATTTACTTGTTTTTTGCCAAGAACAGAAGCAGCAAAGGACGAACAAGATTTCAAGATCTTGATTTTTTTTTAACTCTTCAAATCAACGAAAACAGCAGAAGTAAACATGTTTTTCTTTTGATTTTTTGTGTTTCATAATTTGTCAATTTTGTGAGATGAACGCGTTGTTGATTTCAGTTGTGTTGGTGTTGTTGTTGCTTTTCTATTGGCAAAACCTTGATAAAACACAACTAGTTAAAAACTATACTAAACAAGGCCTTAAGACTATTAATTTTTGTTTGCTATAATTTGAAGTCCAGATTACACGCCAAGTAATCTCGTTCATTTATTCCTTTACACGAGACGTTCAGTGTATTTTGTATATATCACGGTTCAACCATTACTCAACCAACCGTTTGATACCAATTTCTAAAGATCCAATTTGTGTGCTGGTAAAATGAAAATAAAAATGGGATTATCTTCCCATTATCTGAAATTCTGCCATATTATTAATTAATTAGTTAATTAATTAATTAATACTAAGTGGGTATATCTGGGGCAAAGGGCCACCTAAGCAAGCGCCATAAAAAGGTTCCGTTGGGCCGGTGCATAATATCCACCCGTCCGACAGCAACAACAACAATCGTTATTGTATTTTGGCCTGTATAGGTTTGTTTTTTTCTTTCTTACTCTTGGCCGGCGGTCCCCCGGCGCCACGCGTCGCGCCCACGTTTCATGGACCACTTGGAGGGAGCTTCCCCTAGGAAAGCGACGTGGCGAATCTGAAAATGGGGCTCTGTGGGCTGGAGCGAGAGAGTCAGAGAGGTGCACATCATTTTTGCAACTCGCAGATGGCCTCGATGACATCCACTGCCCACAAAACCGGAAAAAATCCCAAAATACCCTACCTATTAAAAAAAATTCCTCAAATACAATACTTATAAAAAATTTCCCCAAAATACAGTAGTTTCAGCATCACTGTCTTTGTCCAAGACAATGATGGTATTCACCGCTTTGGTAAAAAACGGGGATAGTATCACCGCTTTAAACAACAACAGTGATACTATCACCGTTTTCGTCCAAAACGGTGAAGCTATCATCGCCCTAAACAAACGCGGTGATAGCTTGACCGTTGATAAGAAAAACGGTGAAGCTTTATCACCGTTGATATTTAAAACGGTGAAGTTGGCGCGGATCGCTGACGTGGCGAGGAGCGGGGACTTCACCGCGTAAGACAAAAGCGGTGATAGCCCCGCCCCGCCACGTCAGCGATCCGCGCCATCCGCGCCCTTCACCGCTGCCTTTCGATGCGGTGAGGCGCGGATTGTGGTTTTTCTCCACGATCCGACGCCTCACGCCTCGCCACGTCAGCCATCCGCGCATCACCGCGTTTGACTAACGCGGTGTTGTCACTGCGGCCGATGGAAGCGGTGATTGGCCGCCATAAATTTCCAGCGTCCCCTTCCCCTTCCTTCCCCCCTATAAATACCACTCCCCCCCCCCTCATTCCAAACCACACCACCAAATTTTATACTTCTTTCTCCCTCCAACTTCACTCTAGTTTCGTTCTAAGTATGCTCTGTGGTTGCGGCTAAGTCCGATCTTCCGCATCAGAAAGAATTACTAGAGTTTTTGTTTTTTGTCGATACTCTCGCTAGCTTTTCGGCAAAAAATGGACGAAGAGGCTTTGAGAGTACGTAAATTTATTTTATTCTTTTGTGCTTTTTTTACATGGGTGCTAAAATTTAAATTGATTTGATTTCATATTTTTTTATAGATGGGTGCTGAGATATACGACCCTAGATTGTATATCGATCCTGGCCCAAGGGATCCACGGTATTTAACCGGGCAAGATCAACATCGCTCCCGTTCAATTTGGAACAATAATCCGGTAGACACACTAAAATTATTTCAATAGTTTTACCGTTTGTATTTTTTTTTATTTACTGACAATATTGTGTTTTTTGTTTTGTAGGAATCACTTATTCCCATCAGTCATCGAGGGACATGTCGATTGCCCCGTTGGCATCCTCGACTGCATCCCTATCTAGAGAGGGCGGGATTGCACAATTTGAGGCACTTTATGAGGCTTGATATTGACAACGATCTGCTGACGGCAATGGTAGAGCGATGGCGCCCTGAGCTGCATACCTTCCACTTTCCCGAGGGTGAAATGACGATCACCCTCAAAGATGTTGCCATCCTCACCGGGCTCCCGTTCACCGGAGATGCCATCATCGACAACTCGAGAAAACCAGAAGATGGTTGGGGGCCATTGATTCAGGAACGTCTGGGGTTCAACATGCCGACCACCACGCCCGTCGAAGGTCAGGGGCATCCACCACTGAATGCGGGGCAAGTATCGATCCCGTGGCTTGTTGACCACATCCAGATGGAGGTTAATATAGGCCCGGATACTCCTGAAGATCAGGTGGAGCGGTATGCACGTGTCTACCTAATTGCCTTGGTTGGTGGGTTTCTGTTCCCCGACAAGTCAAACCGGTGGATACAAGGCATGTGGTTAAATATGCTCCTCGGTGACTGGGACGAGATCGGGCAAAAAAGCTGGGGGTCGGCCGTCTTGGCTGGGATCTACCGCGAGTTGTGTACTTGCTCGAAGTTGGGAGCGAAACAAGCTGGTGGTGCGATGTTCATACTCCAGCTCTGGGCATGGGAGCATCTTCCGTTTCTCGCACCTCGAGACCCTCGGGAATTCTGGTTGCCAGATGATGAGCTACGATTTGTAGCAAATCCTCCATATGGTTTCAAGTAAGTTCAATTTAAGTTGAATTTATTTTAGATATGCAATGGTAGCTAGTTAGGTGAATTTAGATTTTAGTGAACTTAGTGAACTTAGTATGCAATTTTAAGTATGCAATTATAGTATTTTAGTGAACTTAGCTATCTTCCAACTAAGCGGATTTAGAGACATTTTAGGTCTGCAATTCTAGTATTTTAGTGAATTTAGATATCTTCCAAGTAAGTGAATTTGGATTTATTCTAACCAAATCGCATTTAGCTAATTTAAAAATTGCTTATATATGTACTTTTGCTTGGCTAGGAAGTGACGAATACACCAACGCCATGTCCATCCCCATTCGTCCGGGAAACCACGGACGGCGTGTTTAATCCCGGCATGTCGATCCGATATAATTGTAATACCCATTCTTTGTGTGACGTGGGCGTGTAGCTGGTCAAAGAATCATGCCCAACTTAGGTTGTTCTCCCCTTCAACTAATGCAAATGCTAAGGGAAAAACACTTAAATTTCCATCAACCCCAGTGGCAATAAGAAGAGTTCCTTTATACTTCCCAGTAAGGAAAGTTCCATCAACCTGTTAAAATGAATAATGAGTTAGTAAAAATTGAAATTTCAAAAGTAATGAAATAGTACAATATTTTGAGTCCGTAATATACCTGAATCACTGGCATGCAGAAGGGAAACCCGTCAATGCATGGCTTGAATGTCCAGAACAGACGATGAAACATCAACTCGTTCTGTACTCGAACTTGATCTTCAGTTTCTACGTTGTTGTACCAAGGCACGAAAACCGTCCCAGGGTTGGACTCTTCCATTGCGGACATTAGTCTGGGGAGTAAAGCATACGAGTCATCCCAATCACCGTAGACATCAGCCATGGCCTTCTGCTTCCCATGCCACGCCTTCTTATACCTTATGGTGTAGGAGTGTCGATCCTTCACCTCCGCCATGATAGCTTTTATCTTGATATCTGGTTGTGCCTCGATAAGGTGCTTAATGGTTCTTGCCACTTTTTTTGCTTTCAGTTGCCGGTGATCCTGTGAAAGTATGGTTGAGGAGCAACTGTGGTTGTTCTCTACTGTCCGCATGACCCAGACCCCCTTTCTCTTCATATATGCAGCACGAAGTTGCCACATACAACCCTCTCCAGCATTCTTACAAATGACATGCAGTTGTCCCTTATCAGAATATTTTACCTTCCATTCGAAATTACGCCGCATGGCTTCTTCGCTAAAAGCGTCTTGCACATCGGCTTTCGAAGTGAACGCCATACCCACTTCCAAATTAGCAGTCGGATTATACACAGGCATGGGCCGAAAGTCAGGGGCATCGTTCTGACCATATAAAAATTGATCAGGAACCTCTGTGTAGTAAGGCGTTGGTGCCTGTCGGAACGCCACCTCACTGTCATCGATATCGTCGTTATCGTCCGTATCTTCCTCCTCACTGACTGATCTCAAATCTTCCTCACTTTCATCGTCACTGGAGGCGAATGGATAGCTCGGCGAAGGATGGTCATCGTTAGCAGCATAACCAGCATCGCCTTCTTGGTCATGCGAAGTACGCCCAGTTCGAAGGGTGTTTTCAATGTCACCCCACTCTGGACCCCAAGCAGGCCATTGATCACCGTCGGGCTGAACGATATCGACGGCAGTCTCACCACCATGTGGCAGGTATTCTTCCCACCCAACACCTCCTTCAGAACTACCTCCTCCGTAGTTGCTTGAAGTACCTCCCCAACCATACCCTCCGGCAGAAGAACCTGCTCCGTAGTTACTTGAACTACCACCCCAGCCATACCCTCCTGCAAAACCATCATCATAAGAATACTGGTGAGAATGAGTTTCACCGACCGGCTCGGTCTCGACATACACCTCTGCAAGCCGCACCCCGTTCTCAGATATGAACTGTGTCATCATGTTCGCGTCGTCATCATCATTTATGTCAACTTTTTCGTACATGACTCCGTCAGCACTCATGTTGGGATACCGGTAAGTAATTTGACGAACTCTCATTTGCCCGCCCGTACAAGTCCTTTCTGCACACCTGTCATGGAGTTCTTGCCACGAGAATCTCGACTCAATTGTAAGCATACTGGATTCGCCATCTTCATAGTCGATCCCAATGTTCGAGTTTGTCACCCGACCATTCCAATAAATAATAAGCCGAAACTTCTTAAATTTACCCATGTCTGCAATTTATAATAATTAAGTATAGTATACAATTAGTACATTATGGATACAAAAACAAAACAAACCCATAATAAAATGCAACTAATTGATCTATTATGAGAAAACTAAACAAATTAATCTAATTCAGTACCAACTAACCAACATCTATCATATCATAATTAATCTAAATATATCATAACATATTTTCCAATAATCGCGATTCACTAAATACAGACATATTCATACTAACAGCTCAACATGTAAAAAATACATACTTATAACATACTCAATCCCGATCTATCATGAGAAAACTAAACAAATTAATCTAAATTCAGTACTAACTAACTAACATCTATCATATCATAATTAATCTATATATATAAACAATACATAATTCTAACATACCGAATCCCGACGAGTTTCTTGAGCAGTAAACCAACTCCAAACCAGCTGAGAAACCGACTAAAAAAATAGGGTTTGTTGTATTTGGTTGCTGTAAGGCAGCAGCAGGAAGGAAGTGGGGTTCGGAATTTATAGGAAAAAATGGCTGCTAATCACCGCTTTGGACAATGGCGGTGAACACATCATCGCTGTTGTCCAAAGCGGTGATAGCTAGGTCGCTGTGACCTAATTTTTCCACCTACCAGGGTAGAAAAACGTGGTCAATTATCACCGTTGTTGACCACCGCGATGTTATCACCATTTCCCATAAACGCGGTGAAGAGCTCGATTATCACCGTTATTCTGAAAGGCGGGGATGTGATCACTGTTGTGGTCCAAAGCGGTGAAGCTATCACTGTTGTGGTCCGAGGCGGTGAAGCAATCACTGTTGTGGTCGAAAGCGGTGATGTTATCCCCGCTTTACTCAAAAGCGGTGATACCTTCCCCGTTTTTTACCAAAGCGGTGATCTTCATCACTGTCTTGGACAAAGACAGTGATGCTGAAACTGCTGTATTTTGGGAAAAAAGTTTATAAGTATTGTATTTGAGGAATTTTTTTTAATAGGTAGAGTATTTTGGGATTTTTTCCCACAAAACAAGGGGACCACTCTCCTCCTCCTCCTCTCTTTCGATGGTGGGATGGAAAATTCCAACCAGACAAGCGCGTCGGGTTTTATCTGATCTGATCTGTATCGTAGTATGTATTATACTATTATTTGACTAGTATAGGATGTAATATGGATACCGCTTCTGACCCGTTCCACCTCACTCTTTTACCTAAATAATGACCCGAAACTCTAATTAGGTGCAAAATTTGATCTTTTAACTAATAAGATTCAATCAGTTGTTCTATTATCACTATTTTTTTTCATTCGTGAAGTGTTTTCTCATTGTTTTATCGTAAAAAAAAATTAATCTTTTTTGAACTGACCTATCTCGACACTAAGGATGACATTTCGGTTCGTTTAATCGAATAGAAAAATCACGAGAAACCAAAATCTAAATGAACCAATCGTCCAAAACTAGAACTATAACCGTTGAGCTTATAAGCTTATAAAACCGATTTGATTTAGGTAAAAATCGAACCACCATATCTACCCATACAAGTATTATCCGATCTGACTATTGCTTGGAACAAGAGAAATATATGAGTATTAAAATACCCGCGCTTTCACTCTCCATTTTTGCCATAGTTTATAATTATTGGTCCCCTCTACACACCCTGACTCATCCCTCGTCTTACGGGCTTGGGAATGTCGTGGGCCATACCCGGGCGTGGGCTCCATGAATGCAGGAGAGGATAACTCCGAGAGGAATAGTTCACGTACGGCCCAATCTACTGTAGTAGTTAATTCAAAGAGCCTGCAATTAGGGCTTTCCCTTCGTTCTCTTCTCCCCCTTTCACAAACCTTATCCTTCGGTTTTGTGGGCAGTGGCGTATATGGTCCATGTATGATGATTTGACTCGTTTTTTTCATAGGCAGTAGGTCAGAAGAAACAGAATGCAATCAATAATAACCTCAGATTCTTGCATGACAAAAACCCAAAATGGTGTTATTGCAAATCAATAAGAGAGGGAAGAGAAGAGAGAGAGGATGATGTGGTTCATCAAGTCATTTGGCATATTCGCGAGAAATATCGATGAATAGTTCACGGTAGCGTGAGTAAGACAATAATATAAGCCAACTGGGTTTAGATGGGACAACGAACGGGTTGGGAAAGAGGAAGGGTGTATTAGAGTATGAGTAGTACGAGTAGTATTATGTTATACTACGAGTATTATTGTGTAGTTCGACAGAGTTATATTCCTTATCAGAGTCGTATAAGTTAGGTAATTTCCGTATTAGTGTTAGAGTTATTATAGAAGTCAGCCTATGTATTCTATATAAACCCTATGTGGTTTCAGTAATAATACACAACAGTTTCCACCGTATTTTCGATTTTCCAACATGGTATTAGAGCCTGGTTCAAAAACCTAACTTATATGACTCTAATAAGGAATATAATTATGTCGAACTACACAATAGTACTCGTAGTATAACATAATACTACTCATACAGTCATACTACCTATACTCTAATAGGGTGTTGAATTGGAAGATAGTAGGACATATGAAGAAGAATCACCCATGCTTTACAATACTGGACGAAGATGATATAATTAGCATCTAACTATAACCAAGTTAGCCAAAATTTACGGCGAACGAGATAGGGTTGTATTCACGTTGTATTCACTATTCATACCGACATCTGTAATCTGTTGTCTGAACTCGAGTTGTGTTGTATGAACTCCAAACGAAATACGCTTGCTTGAACCACATTTGCACCGATATAGATATCAGCCTTAAATTTATGACATCATATTACTATATACTTAAAAGTTAAAAAGAGAAGAAAAGGACTTGAAAAAGTCGAAAATAAAATGGAACCTAAACATCTTTTCCCACGAAAACGACACCGCTTGGGAACAAGTCCCTACATTATCGACCCATATGGAGGCCAGGGAGCATGCCAATTTGCCTCACTTCACAAAATGTGCGGCCCCAGCCCCAAAAGTCCAAAGAAGGAACAAATCAATCTGCGTACACTGTTGCTCATCACGCCTTAGGAAAGAAACGTGAGAGCGAAGCAACTTCAGTAGAAGCCAAATTGGAAGGACCACGGACGAGATCAACCAAAGTAATGATATGACAGTAGGGAAGAAAAGCTAATAGGCATATACATACTGCTAAGGTAAAGAGGGAGAAAGGGATGGCTTAGTGACTCGCAGCTCCCCGCAGTCGCTGATGAACACGGTTTTCAGTGGCCGGTTCCAGCTCGATCGCGCGTTCAGTGCCCTCTCGTCGCCCAGGAACTCGGCAAAGTCGTTGAACTGCCGGATCCTTTCCCCCGGTTTGTAGGTTGGGATGGAAGATATCGCTGTCACGACGTCCATACCTGCATCACCATTATTGGAAACGGCATTGCAACATGAGATTGAGTTGGAAAGAATCAAACTTTTCATTAAACATGGGAGAATAACATTATCATCGGCGATCGTAAAAATTTCCATCCAGGACCTTTCATAGCAATCGCAGGCAAAACCACAAACAAATTGTGATATGTTCCAATATTGTAATTGAATTTGGTTTCCAAGTAAATCCTTCTCTTATACGCTTCCACCAAGCGCAAGTCGATTCATCCCGATGCCAAATGAAGAACCACTTCATCCTGACACTTGACAAGTGAAAAGATTTGGAAATTACAGCTGCATCCTATAAAACTATGGTCCATTGAAGAATCTATGCACCAACAAGACAGCACTACCTAGGATTAAATACTTTAGCCTCGATGACAGGGTTACTCCTTACTAGCTGGTCTCACTCTAATAGGAACTATCAGAAACTCCCCCAAAAGGAGGAGTAAGATTCCCCATATCCAAACGCAGGACGTTGACAAATTAGGCACTAGAGATTAGGATTCATATACTATTCTTAAGCAGACTGGTGTCACAAAGTATGGAATCCACCTCAGGGATAATAGAGAGGACAATGATTGAGTTAATTGCATAATCAACAATGTAAACAGCAAAACAAGGAACCCTATAACATATTGATCTATTGCATCGGTAATATGAACGAAATAACATAATTCTGTTAGCTGATCATTTGTTGACATCCGGATGATCATCATACTTGTATGAGACAAGTCCTATTCTGTCCTATATCAGGCGTGATCGGCACAAAAGAGGGGGAATAGAAAGGGCGTGCATCTCAAGTTCTATCAGGATGTAAACCCATCGACAAATAAGAAAACGTGATGCAAAAGGTTGAAAGGAGCATATGACTGCAAACGTTCTTGGCATTTATTCTCAGAATTTCCACCATTTATAAAAGGAGGCATCTTTATGATGATCGATTGACATTTGAATTGACCCCAGAAAGAAACAAATACTATCTTGATCGTATCACGAACTGAAATTTGATCCATTTCACCTACTTCTATCAGCAATTGAATGCATATCGTTTATTTCACAAGCTCCTGAGCTTAACTATGGCAATTGGCAATCACTGAATGCGTCAACAATTTACAGATTCTAAGTCCTGGGTTATCATTCTTTCACTGACACAAACTGACTTGCCAATCCACCAACCATCTCATCACTGAACAACTGGGTCAGGCAAAACGTCGAACACCTTGCAGGCAGCAGATTGTGGAACAAAAAAGAACAAAACACTAACCTTCAAGCACATGTCCAAACACAATGTTCTTGCCATCCAACTCAGGGCACGGACCCGGCCCGGTAGTAATCAAGAACTCGACATTCCTGTAGTTCGGATCGAGCTTCACATCGTCCTCATCATCGTTCTCCGACAAGCACAGCGACAGAACACCGGCCTTCGAGTGGGCGAGCCGAAAGGCCTTGGGATCGACGGCCTCGACGTTTCTCGGCAAGTCAGCGGGGGGTCTGACCTCGCCCAATTCCCTCCTCCCCTGCCTTCCGGCGAGGAAGAATTGACCCGGGAGCACCTTGTGGACGAGGGTGTTCTTGTAGGAAGACGAATTGACCATGGATTTGAAATTGGAGACGGTAGTGGGAACCAAGTGGCCGTAGAGGCCGAGGACAAGGCGGCCGAGGAGGAACGGCTCGGTGCAGAGCGTGGCGACAGTGTCGGAGACGGTGCGGTCAGGTTTGGAGTAGGCCGGGCAGATGGAGAAGTCCATGAAGATTCTGTCGGTCACCGTGGTGTCTGGTGGAGGCGGCGACGGTGGAGGAAGGGTGATGGAGGAGAGGGAGGTGGAGAGGAGGAGGGAGCGGCGGGTGAATGCGACGGAGGATGGGAGGAGGTTCGGCGGCGCCGGCGGAGGGATGAGAGGGAAAGCCATGGCGGTAGTGAAGTGGTGGGAACGGCATCGTTTTTTAATGTAATGGCGGGAGACGGATGGTCCACGTATCTGGATAAAAGCAGATGACGTGGATGGTCTTCGATCGAACGACGACGTTTCACCCATTGCCTTGGCAACTTAAAAAAGAGGTGTGAAATGATATTGTTGGGGGTAAATTACATTTTACTAGTGATCTAGTATGCACTTAAAATTTAGGGTTATATTTTGGGTTATAGGTATAATATGTCCCTTTACTATGTCGTTTATCAAATATGCCCCTCTACTATTTTTTACATGAAACATGTCCCTGTACTTTAGAAAAATGATCAAACATGCCTTTCTGTTAATATTTCCATCCAAGAACAGTCAATCATGGTCGTACCTTGATTTGGGCGACACAAATGTCTAAAATATCCTTGGTAATTTCACTTTAGAATTTTTTGGGTTCTTTTGTAGAGCCAAATACCTCTAATAATTTTACTTTAACGAGACCTAGAAAGATAAAATGGGGGACAAAACTGACATTTTCGCTCTCATTTGCTAATGTCGGATCATCTACATCTCGGTTCAACCATGATTGGCGATTTTTTTAATGGAAATTTTAACAAAAGGGCATGTTTGATCATTTTTCCAAAGTACAAGGGTATGTTTGATGTAAAAAATAATCTAGGAGCATGTTTGATAAAACTACATAGTAGAGGGGCATATTATACCTATAACCCTTATATTTTTTTTTTTTGCTAACACTAACTCTAGCTCAAATGGAGTAATTTTTACTTTGTTGGGGTATCACTTATTACTCAGTAATGTGATTTAGAACATGTGCATGTATGGTATTTTGATGTAAACCCAATTTTCAAGACCGGACAAAAAACGAAGACAAGAGGCAAGGGGCGGCCTACCGGATGCAAGAGCACTGGCTGCACCTCTAGAGCGGGAAACCAAGACCACTGGAGCTGCTTTGAAACTAGGCTTGTCAATTATACCTATACGGGCCGTACCCATGGGTTTATAACTATCCAACCTATTTGGATTGGGTCTGAAATCCAATTAAAGTGTAAATGGATAAAGTTAGATGGGCCAATACCCATACCCATTATGTTGGGTTTACTTGGGTTTTACCCATGAACTTGGGTTAAAAAATCCAAACCCAAATAATAATAAAAAAATGAAACTAAAAAGAAAAATAAGACAATCTCTTCGAAGACTCATCTCTACCCATCTTCCTCTCGACAGTCGACAACTCTTCCTCTCTACCCATCTTCGTCGACGACGAGCCGCCTGAGCCACGACGTCGCCGCCCCGGCCACCAGCTCGAACGTCGCCCCCAGGCCACCTCCGATCTCGGCATCCCCTCCGGGCTCCGACCACTGAATCGCATCGGCGCCACCAAAGATACAGAAACCCTGCCCCGATTTCGTCGCCGCCCCGGCCACTGCCACTAGCTCCGACGTCGCCGCCGCCCACTGAGAAAGACAACTGTGGATTTCTAGCTAGCCAATCGGACTGAAAAGAGAGAAGAGAGATGCAAGGACGAAGAAAGAAAAACACACGAGACTGAGCTCAGCGGCCGGGTCGAATTTGTCTTCTTCAAACTCATCATCAATCCTCCTAATCTTCCCCTCTCTCAAATCAAACACCCCGATGTCGTGCCCTCCGTACAAGTAATCCTCATCCATCCGCTCCCAGCCATCGTCCGTGTAGTATAAGGAGTCCGCCGCAATCCCACCGCCGGCGGGGACCGAAACAGAGTCACCCCCGCCCAAAAACAGAGCCCTCTTCTCCTCGTCGCCGGCAGCGCCGCTCAAGTTCGCGGCACGCACCCATCTCCTCCGATCAGCATCCATCTTATACACCTCGAACGCCGAGAAGGGGCGATTCCCGACCTAGTTGAGGGGGAACAGCGAGCAGAGCTCTGTAACCTGAACGCCGAGAAGGGGCTCGGAGAAGCCGTGGCGATTCCCGACCCAGTTGAGGGGGAACAGCGAGCAGAGCACCGGCGGGGTGTAGACCGGCTCGAGGATATCGGCGACGGCGGGGTGTAGACCGGCATTCGGCACTGGCAAAGCGTTCGGCACCGGCAAAGCAGCTGGACTTGGCCAAAGTTACATTTTAGTACCTGAAGTTTTTAAGAAGATACAAATAGGTTCAACATCATATGTGGAAAATTATATTTTAGTACATTAAAAATTTTGCTTTACATTTTAACACCTAATAAAAAAAAATATACAGGTGGGTCCGAGGAGATGGGTCCCCAAGCCCAATCCATACCCAAAAATAAAATCCAAACCCAACTCCACCTACCCAAACATTATCCAAATCCATATAGAATAAATCCATATCCAACCCATATAAATGAATATAAATGGGTTTGGGCAAAAATACCCATGGATGGGTAAAAAAGTGTTTACTTTCCATTCCCATTCCATCAGCTTTTATTTGGGGAATCAAATAGTGCTGAAAAGTAGCAACTTTTGGGAAACACAATATTTTGGTTTCAGGAATGGGAAACAGACGGGTTTCTCTCTTCTTTCTCATTAATGAGACCCATGTATCGAATCCCCCAACCACCCAAAATCAATTTATTACCCCATCTACCATTTGACATACAAACCATCCCAAAGACCCCAAACCCTATTATCCCAAACCCAACCCTTTCCCCTTCTTCTCATCTGCTCCCCGCCGCCTCACTTCTCCTCCACTCTCCCCTGCCTCTTATCTCCTCCACTCTCCCCTGTCTTGCTTCCGTTGCCGTCGAGGACTCCCCTGCCGCCGTAAGCCCGGACTCTCCTTATCGTCGTCGACCCGCCGAGGCCTCCCCTGCTCGGCGTCAGCCCTCGTTGCAGTCAACCCGACCTTTGGCTCCCCACTCGCTGCCTTGTCCCGACCTTCAACCCCCGCTCGCCGTCGACCCGGCCTTCCCCGCTCATCGTCAACCCGACGTTTATCTCCCTTCTCGTCGCCTTGTCCTCGTCCTAGTTTATATCCCCTGCGCCTGGTGAGCAATCTTTTGAAATCTCTGCTTACTTTTGAACAGAGAGTTGATTAGATAATAAATAGTTGATTAGATTAAATAGGATTGGCAGACTAGAATTGAACAGAGAGTTGATTTCTTCTTCATTTTGCCCACCCACATGCGATCCCTTCTTCTTTTGAAAAATCACAGCACATCTTTTAATTAATATATATGTGAACCCCTAATTAACCCATGCATGACCTCTTCACTGCCGAATCTTTGTTGGTGTGTTGGTAATTGATTGCTTATTATTGTTGTATATCTAATATGACCGACTTGTGTAACTAGTTCTTATCATGGACAATAATGAGGCTCAAAACAAGAATGATTATGTAACGGCGGGAGGAAAGGAAGTATGGCCTAATGAGGTCAAGTTCTATCTTATTGATTTGATGGTGGAAGAAGTGAAGAATGGAAATAGAACTACCACTACTTTTTCAAAGGTAGGCTGGGCAAACATAATAAATGGATTGACAAACAAGTTTAGGAAGGTTTGGAATGAAGATCAGTTAAAGAACAAGTTTAATTAGATGAGGAGAGAGCATAGGGTTTTCACGACAATCATTAGTGAGACTGGAGTTAGTTACACTACGGCAACTGGGAAGATTGATGGCTCTGATGAACGTTGGGAAAGATGGTTAAGGGTAATTGAATCCTTGTCTATTGTGAAATTTTGTATGTTTATTATTTAAAACTTTGAATTGATTCAATTTTTTTTTTTTTTTTTTGTAGTTGGATAAGGTGGTTGGAAGCATTAAGAAGTATGGTTGTCCGGAGTATCCAAAACTTTGCATTGTCTATGGGGATACTACCGCTACTGGAAATGATGCACTACCTTCTACACAGGAGATTATAGACAGCAGTAGTGAGGATCAGAGCAAGGAGAAAGTTTCTGAAAGTATTATGGATAAGACAACTGAACTTGCAAAGGAATTGAAATGCAAAGCAAAGTCTAAAGGGAAAAAGAGAAAAGCAGTTAGATCAACCTTCTCTTCTACCATAGAGAAGGCAATAGTTGAAATGGCTGAGATGGAAAAAATGAAGAATGAGATGTGTTTTAGAGTGGTTAGGAAGTTTGGTTTGATGTTTGCTGAAGTTTGCTGTAACACCCTTATCCTTTTAAACAACCGAAATACTCATGGCTCCGGAGCCGGTTAAAAACAAAGTTTAAAATTTAAATACAACTTAAACATTCCCAAGGAAAACGTCAAATGCAATGTCCTAACACGTGGGCAAAACTCAAATGCATAGTTAATAAACCTCAACCTTTGAACCTCCAGTTATACTCATAATCATAAACAACACTGACTAAACAAACTATAACTCCTCGCTTAGCTCCTTGACATCTCGTCAATGCTGGTGCGGTTGCTCGCCTTGCCTTGCTCCTTCTCGGGATCCACCTCTGCTAACCCTTCCTCAACCTGGTGAGTGAGAAGGGGTCAGTCTCGTCGTTACTTCCTAAGGTCTTGCCCTAAGCAACCTCCTTACTAAAACACATTATTAGCGTTTCCTTTTCTTAGATGAAAGTCGTTCTCACTTCCATCCTTAATAACTCATTTCAACTTTAACTTATAGAGGTTCTCAACTTTTATTCTTAAATCATAGAAGTTCTCTACTTCTATCCTTAACTAATAGACATCAATACCAGGGACCACCGCGTTACGTATCGCCGTCCGGTGTCCCTATCCTCAAGGCAATGGTACTGCGTTACGTATCGCCGTCCAGTCCATGCCCGGTCAACTACTGCGTTACGTATCGCCGTCCAGTAGTGACCCGACCATCTACCGCGTCCAGTAGTGGCCCAACCGCCCAGGGTTTCAACTACCATCAACCATACACAACACACACACATAGCACAACGCGTGCCTCCACCTTAAGTAGGCGGTGGGATGCCTCACACACATAATCACGCTTACTCATAAAATTAACTAAATAATAACCTCAAATGAAAAGAGTAAACTAAAAAGACCTCGACAGAGATTTTACCCCCTTTACACTCACCTCATTTGCCGACTTTGATCGATCGACACGACTCCTCTTCACTGCCGGTTGATCCACGTCATCACCCGAGATTCCACGCTCAAACTCCTCGCGCTTTACCTTCTTTTGCGCTTCCTCCCTATATCAATTTCCTCTTCCATGTCTCAAACCATCGGCAACAGACCCTCCTTGAGCCTTACATGATTAAGGGCTGCTTCCCACCTAAGCATGATCCACGAGCTAGGAACACGTGTATATAATCATACACCTCCAATGAATTCTTGGAGTCCTCCTTCAGCTTGATACCTCGAGCTCCCACAAATGTCGATCCGTTATTCCACCCGCAAGCTCTCCCCTCCAGTCCACTCATCTACTTGGCGTTCCTGTCCACAAGCGACGTCCCATCTTCCATCCTTCACGGCTTCCTCTCTCCTGGCAGTCGGCGATCGCTGAGGAAATTCCCCGGTTGTGAGATCAAGAAAGCTAGGTGGAGGCAGCAGCTTTCTTTTCTTTCCTCTCTGTTTCGGGTGTAGCGTTTCGGCTGCCTGGGATTAGTTTTAGAGTGAGGCACTTGTGTGCCCATATATATGAAAAGGGTTGGACGAGTATGGGACCGGTTGGGTTAGGTTTAGGGTTTCAAGGGTATTTTGGGAACTTTATAATTACAGTTGAGTTTGACCCGAAACTCAGATAACGTTCGTAACTTACTTATTTTATGTCAAAACTCGACACCGTTTGAACTGATAGTTCACATTTTTAATCCTCATCAATGCTACGGTGGAACTTGACCACTTGACCCAAGAGTATAATAGTCATTTTTACTTTTTGGAAGAGCGGGGTGTAACATTTGCTTGAAAAGAGGGTTCGCTTGATGATGATGTGTTTTAGAGTTCAAGTTTGAGTATTTATGTTTGCTGTATGTTGTATGGAGCTTTGTTTATTTCATGGATCTATTGCCATTTTATGGTTACGAAACATGGGTATGTGAGCTTGTATTTTGGATTAAGTTTTTTTAAGTGTTTGTTTGATCAAGTATTATGTATTTGAAGTTTGTTTGTGCATTTTCTGATTCGAATATATTATCTATGCAGAAACGTAATGGCAACTTCTGATACAGATTCTGATCATGAGATGCATAGGAATTTGATAATATATTTGGCACTGTTGGAGAATGAGATATTGAATTTGCCTAAAGAACCATGCAGAAACTCAAAATTGCCAGGACATCAATGGGTTCAAGAACTTTTGCGTGGTCATCCGATTAGGATATATGAAGAACTACGAACTGATAAGGAAACATTTATTGCTTTATGCGATGAATTGAAACAACAAGGATTGCTGGAATCTACCAAGAGAGTCATTGTTGAAGAACAAGTGGCAATCTTCCTACGAACTTTAGGTCATGCCATTGACTTTCGAGATGGTGCTGAAAGGTTTCAGCACTCTACAGCTACCATATCTAAGTACTTCGGTAAAGTATTGAAAGCAGTGGTGAAGCTTTCCAACAAGTACATTGTTCCCCCAAATTTCGATAAAGTTCCTGAAAAATAGTTGGTTCAAAATATGATCCATATTTTGAGGTAAATTAAGTTACTTGCCTTTATAGTTGGTTCAAAAATTTTATAACATGTTCATCTAACATTTTCTATTTTGTAACTTAGAGCTGCATTGGGGCAATAGATGGAGTGCATATTGATGCAACTATTCCGACCGGCGAGCAAATACCATTCCGAGGGCGAAAGACAACAACTACTCAGAATGTGATGGCTGCATGTTCTTTTGACATGCTTTTCACCTATGTAATGGCAGGGTGGGAGGGCACGGAAAATGATTCTAGGGTTCTTGCTGAAACCGTTTCTAATCCAGGGAATAAATTTTCAATGCCGCCGCGAGGTATGTAATGAATAATTTTTTATGTTTATATAGATCGCAAATTTAGTGGATAACTAATTAACTTCTAAAAAATTTTCAGGTAAATATTATGTTGTTGATTCTGGATATTCAAACATGCCTGGATTTTTAGCACCCTACCGGACAAGAGAATCTTCTCATTTCCAAGAGATTAACCGTGCAGGTGGCCCAACAAATCGTAAACAATTGTTTAACTTTTATCATTCATCCCTACGCAACGTTATTGAGCGTTGTTTTGGAGTTTTGAAAGCTAGGTTTCCAATTCTAAAACATATGCCTAACTTTCCATTCAAGAAGCAAGCGCAAATTGTTATAGCTACTTGTGTGCTACATAACTTTATCAAGATCCACTGTGATGAAGACGTCTTATTTGACAAATACCAACAGTGTGGTGTAGAAGTCCAGGGAGTACAACAAACTGAAGTGTATGATGTCAGTTCAACTCAAACTCGGGCAATGGAAATTCGACGTGATGAAATAGCAGACAAGTTGTGGAATGACTTTCAAGCAGAAGTTATTTGATGTTTTTACTTATTTGTATTTGTTATTGTATTTGTACTTCTTAAAATGTTTGGTTGATGTAGTAGTATTTTGTTTATTTGTTTAAAACAAGATTGCTATTGAAAACAAAAATCAGTTTGTAATAACTGTATCTGAACAAGTTTCCATTTCCAGGTTTCAGTTTCAGAACTCTCTAAATTCTCAGCTAAACAAGTTTTCTTCAGGTTTTGTTTTCCAGAAAACGACAGATTCCTTTTCTTCGGATTCCCTTTTCTGTTTTCCAAAAATAAAAAAACAGAATGACTACTAAACGGGCATAAATTGCCATCCCTTTTTGAAACCAAGCCCCCAATTAGTGGCAGTAGAGAGCCTCCGACTTTTCATGAATTCAACTTATCCGATGTAAAAGCAGCTACCAACAAATTCCTCGGCCATAACTTGCTTGAATCGGGTGGGTTCAGACCGGTTTACAAGGTCAGCAAAATCTTCTTTTTAAAATTCTTGAAACCTGGCAAGTTTCCTGAAACTTAGAACTTTTCCTATCCTTTCTTCTCTTCTGATTTCCAGGGTATATTGTTGGGAGGTGAGTTAATCGCGGTGAAGCGGCTTTTAAAATCATCAACTCAGGGACTTGCGGAGTTCACCAATGAGGTTTCCCTTAACCGCAAGGCTTCAGCATGTGAATTTGGTCAGGATTGTGGGGTTCTGCACCGAGAACGAAGAGAAAATGTTGGTTTATGAGTTCATGATCAACGGAAATTTGGACATCTACCTGTTTCGTATCTGCTAGTTTAGCTCCATTATTATAGTAAAAAGTTTCTTACCTTTTGTTCTTTGATTGTTGTTGGTTATCTAATCCAGAATGAATTTGCCTTCCCAACTCATAATTAATCAATCAAAAATTAAGAAAGTAAAAAAAAAAAAAAGAAGATGCTGGAAAGTGGAGGGCCCCAGCGTGTGGGCTTGGGTTCCATGGTTGGTCCCCCATCTTCTCCTTGCATTTTTCCATATCAGCTTCTATCTATCCACCCCAAGCCCACTTCTCCAAATTTGCAAGCCAAATAATTGGTGGGTTGGAGATGAAAAAAGCCAAAAACCTCCCTTTCTCCAAATTTGCATGCTTGGGTTGGAGACTGTCTAACAATGTACAGATCCAATGAAAAAGTTGAGCTTGGACTAGGGTAGTAGGGTTAATGACTTAGGATCATTGAAGGAGTTACCAAGGGCTGTTGTACCTCCAGGAATACTCAAACTTCACCATCATCCACAGGGATTTGAAGGGCAGTAACATTCTTCTAGACGATGGGATGAACCCCAAGATTTCAGACTTTGGGATGGCGAAACTCTTCAGAAAAGATCTGTGTGAAGCTAACACCAGTAGGATTGTCGGAACATAGTAAGTCATGTCATCTCTCTTTACCTAATTATTATTGACAACGATAACTAATGAGACTATTGGATGCCAAAAAACGATCTTAACCCATTCATAACCAACAAGTGAAATCTCTGTATGTACTTTCCAATATTATGCAGTGGATATGTGCCTCCTGAATACGTGAAGAATGGAATATACTCAATGAAATACGATGTCTACAACTTTGGGGTATTCCTCCTACAAATTATAGCAGCAAAAGGTCCCAATGTTACTATGGTCCAAACGAAGACATGCACCTCTTGGACTATGTAATGATCCCACTTATTCCAGGCCTTCCAGAGTTAGCTGTAACAAGCATAAGCACAAGAACAAAAAATTACTCTGTATTTTTTTTTTTTTGCAGGCGGTTGAATATAGCTGGCCGAGAAAATTGAAGAACCAATGGCTGGAGAACAATGTCTTTTTCTTTTCTTCCTGCGATGAAATCAATAAAACAATGCTTCATCGATTCCATTTTCTTTTCCTGGTAATCAGTCACAGTGATTAATGGCCAATGGATGGGAACGGTCGAAGCAGAGTAATGCTCTGTTTTTCCATTTTCGTCGCCATCATCACAATCAGAACTACAGCGCAGGATGATGCGAACTGCAGCCGCTTGTTCGAATGCGGCCAGTTCAAAATCGGTTACCCTTTCTGGGGGCTCAGCCGCCCGGCCTACTGCGGCCTCCCGGCGTTCCGTCTCCGTTGCGGCATCGGGGAAACTCCAATGATCGGAATCTCCGGCATACCTCACAAGATCCTCCGGATCGACGAATTCTCTCGGACCCTTACCCTTCTGCGAGAAGGGTTCGGTGGAATCCCCTGCCTCCCTACCCGAACCATCACCTTGGCTTCGGATCTGTTCGATTACGCGCCGGACACCCAATTCGTCGTGCTCTTCTACGATTGTCCGCCGCCAGATGTCGGGATTCAACTGCCGGCGAGTATTGGCCGGCTCAATTGCAACGGCGGTTCATGGGATTACTTTCTGCTGAGCGAGCACCTGCTCGGGGGGTTCGACGATTCGGTCAGGATTTGGTTGGAATCGTGCCGGAATCGAGTTAGGATGCCGGCGAATCGGACGGAGCTTGGGAGGTCGTCGCCGCCCCCGACGTCGGTGGAGAGGTTGGCGGCGGCGATGAACCGAGGTTTTGGACTGCGGTGGACGAGGGATTACGATGGTGCTTGCGTCAACTGTACGAAATCCGGAGGAGTGTGCGGGTTCAGTGAGAGGGCGGCGCGGTTTTTCGCTTGCTATTGCGCCGGTCAGGCTTACGCCGCCGACTGTTTGGCCCTTAGTAGTGCTTCGCCACCGGAGAAACAACTCGGTACGATCTTTCTCTTCTTCTCTTTGAGTTCTCGGGCCAGATAGTGGGCCGATACGTTAGTGGGCCGCGAGCGGGCTTTCCTTTGTATCTGGTTTACGTAAGATTTTATTTTGATCTAGCATTTTTCATTTAATCTATCTACCTCTATCTATCTTCAATCTATCCTCTACGGCTCTACCCAATACTATATAGATTTTCCTCGCCAGCACCCTACTCATTCTAATTTTCTCAGCCTCTCCACATAAATAGGAACGGCTATTTAGTCTTTCTGCATCTCATCTATTGTTTTTTGGGTTTGACCCATATCAACTGAAAGTCATTTTACTAGACGCAACTAAAGTAATCAGATAGCTTATTTTTATCCATTTCAATAATTAAAAGAGGAGTACATCTATCTACCCAACACTATATAGACTTTCCTCGCCAGCACCCTCCCCATTCTAATTTTCTCAGCCTCTCCGCATATATAGACTTTCCTCGCCAGCACCCTCTCCGCATAGATAGGAATGACTATTTAGTCTTTCTGCATCTCATATATTGTTTTGTAGGCTTGACCCATATCAACTGAAAGTCATTTTACTAGACCCAACTAAAGTAATCAAATAACTTATTTTTATCCATTCCAATAATTAAAAGAGGAGTACATTCTCCGTCCAAAATTATATTCTTGAAGAACCTGATTATCTTATAGCCATATATAGCACGTTAGATAAGAAAAAAAAATTAATTAAGAGATTGTTTCTCTTGGGTGGTAAACCTGGACTAACAATGTTGGACAAAAACTAATTAAGTATCGTTTGGTTTCGGTGATAATTAAATAGATGCATTGTCATCAATGCATGCATAGTAATATACATATATATATAAAAATTGGTGTATGTAGTATACATCGTTTGATTTTTGTGACAGTTGTTGTGTTATTTAAATAAGTTTTATTACTTTTTGGATGAAACGTCACTTTTACTCTTTCTTTTTAATATAAAAAAGCAACACACATAAAAATGTAGGGACATAGTTGGAAGAAAAAATAATACAACAATCTCAATCTCAACAATCTCACAAAAAACTTGAGATTTAACTATCACTCATTTTGAATGATAGTTGGGTCAAATCAAGCAAACAATGCATGTATTATTTGTGCAGAAAAGAAGAAAAAAATGATGCATGGTGGTGTATATTTTAATGATTCAAAATTCCTTGGTTAAATCTCAAAATTATAGTATGAGAATTTAATGTTACTTATAGCATATTGATCGTAACATTGAAAATCCTTTATATGGATTGACTGATATTTTATGGATTATGATAATCATTAGACGCAAATCTTTTGACTAATGCTCAATAGAATGATAAGAAACATCAATCTATATAGGCTGATAACCCTTCATAAGAGGTCTAAACTAAAATCCATCAACAATATGATCTTACCTTGACCGAGAAATTTTGACTCAAAAGTATATGCGAAGGAATGATAAACCTTTGTTGATGGATTATGATGTTAGTTTTAGCTCAATTTGATGGTGAAGATCATAGCTTTAGTTTAGTTTGATAAGTTTTTTTTTAATTATCATTCATTTTCTTGGTAATATTTTAGTTTTTAATCTCAACCTTACGTCTATGAATCATTTCAGATGTCAGAAATGTAGGGATGGCAATTTCGACCTGACTCGATTTACCCGACCTGTTTGACCTGTTTTAGGGCGGGTCCGGCCTGCTTCGTAGGCGGGGCGGGGCGGGAATGAGTACCTCTCATCAACCCGACCTGCCCTGTCCCGCCCCATTCTCAACCAGTTCTAGTCTAAGTTACATGTAATCTTAGTCAAATTACTTAGGATTTTCCTCTTATTACATCATATTTTAGGTATAATAAAGTTGAAAATAAGTAAAAAATTCAATCTCTCCAATAATATAACTACATTTTATCATATTATAGTTTCTTTCTCGGTCTTTTAATTAAAATAACGAATAATTCTAAGGTTTTTCCGCATAAATTATATACCCTATGGGTCGACCTGTCCCGATCCGCGCCCCATGATAAATTACCCGACCCATACCCGACCTGCCACGGGGCGGGTATGGCGGGTATGGGTATCGAGATACCCGCCCCGGACCTGCCCCATTGCCATTCCTACAGAAATGGGATGACAACCGGTCAGGTCGGAGGCGGATAATGCATATTCGTTACCCTACCCAAAATAGTTCAGATTTTACCCATACCCATAGTCATATAAGAAACGGGTAGAAAATCAAAATTGCACATACCCTTTCGGGTATCCACGGTTATCCATGGATAATAATTTTTCTTTATAATTTTAACTAACACATTACATAAGAGGAAAAATACGAAAACGATTCATTAGAATGAAGAAAATTAATTAAAACAACACAATTTTATGAAATTAATATATTTATATGCTAAATATAAAATATGTTAAGAAAATAATGATTATTTCTAGATATATTAAAATACATATGCACGTGTATAATCGAGCGAGTTCGGGTTGGATGGTGAGAAAACCATGTCCACTCATCACCCACAATATTCAGGTTCGAGTTTTACCGTACCCCTAAAAATCCTCCGGGTTCTGGGTTTAGGTCGGATTCGGACGTATAAACATGATTAAGGATATTTTTGTCATTCCAACAGAAAACTCTATGATGTATGTCTGTTCATTTTTATCTTTTCAACAACTAAATTATTTGGTTGCCTTTAGCATACCATATAAAATTGTATGTTTGGTTAGAATAATTTCTATCAATAAAATGTAACCGTCCAACGGACGAGCCCAAATCTAGTAATGAAAAGGGGCTTGAGTTCAAGTCCTTAAGTCTCATTCCTTAAGGAGAATCTTAAAGCCTTCCTATTGGTTGATAGTGGATTAGGTAGTTAAAGGGGGTTAGTAGTTAATAGGTAGTTAAGAGTAAAAGAGGTTATGCAAATATAATTAATATTATTCATTAATGATTCTCTTTCTCTCTCCTCCCATGATTTTCTCCATAATCCTCTCTTTACATTATAATAAAAAATACAAAATTAATTTTATTTAATATTTAATGAAATCCGAATTTAATAATTTTCCTTTTTTAAAATGGAAATTTAAAATATATGTCCTCTCTCACATCTTGGCAACTTGCAATTTAGTATCAATATTTGTAATGACATTATCAATATTTATAATTTGAATCATCATTAGGGTTTTTTGTTGCATGGGTTTAGGATTTTTTCATTTTTAGGTATTCGTTTGTGTTATTATTAATGTTGTTCGACAGGTTTTTTAATAATGTTATGTGACATTATTAACTTTTTATGTTTTGTTTTGTTTTGTTTGTAACATTAGCAAAAGTGAAATTGTGTTTTCAATGGTACTTGAAGTTCATTTACTATTACATCGTATTATCAATCTGGTTCGCAATGATTTATAATCATTTGAAGTGCTATTATCAATGTTTTTTTGCAAGCACAATACAACAATTAGCAACAATTTATTTCATTGATTTGTATTATTAACTTTTCCGTTTATGTTTGTAACTTTGTCAAATGTCATTATCAAGAAGCATACTTGTTAGGTATTCGTTTGTTTATGACATTAGCAAAAGTGATTTGTGTTTAATGATATAACTATGGTTATTAACCTTTCAGTCTAAGTTAGTAACATAGTTGGTGTCGTTATTAATGGGTGTGTATAAGCATTATCAATGTTTGAAAAAATAAGATATTAATAATATCTAGTAATGTACTTAATAATTATTAGTTGCTATCATTATCAAAGTTTTTGGTTGCATTATCCATTAAACACATGTTAGTTATTAATGTGTTTTAGTGTTATTTGACATTAAACAATTAATTTGAATATTATTAATATTTTTTTATTACAAAATCTATTTCCTTATCAGTAACTTGCTCATTTGTTAATAATGGTTTTTAATATCTTTATTAAAAGCTTGATATCATTTTATAATGTTGAAGTCGGACATTATTATATTTATGTTTTGTGTTTATTTTCAACGAAATACTTTTCATTATCAATACTTTATTATATTGTTATTAAAAGTTTGGTGTTGAGGCGTGAATGTTGGTTTGCTTGAGCTAATATTTTTCTTGACAATGTTTGTTTGACTGAATCACACAAGTACCCAACATGTTGAAAATCAATATTGTGCTTTATGATCATTGAGATTGGTAATGTAAAACAATATTAATTGATAATAAAGTGTTAATAATGTCATTAGAAATCATTGAAAGAGGCCATGACTAGATAGTTATAAACATGATGTGAAAATGTGAATCATTAGTACTAAAGATGTTGTAAATCAATGATATTGTTATTCAAACTTTTTTTTATGAATGATTTGTATTTGTATTAATAAACTGTTGTTTGCTCAAAAATTAAGAGCTCATCTGTGTTACAACTGAGTATAACATGAGAGAATATTACAACAATTGATGAAAGAGAATTCTCAGGTTATGGAGGAAGAAGATGGAGTTACATAGCCAAACAACCTAGTTAGTAGTAGTGCCTCCTGTTGATTCATACCACCTTTGGTCACATTCCAATTTATGGAATTGTTGACTATTTTGGGCATGACTCGGTCCCATGAGCAACTGATATCTCTAAAAGTTCTTGAATTTCGCTCTATTGTTATTCAAACTGTTAATGACCATGTTACATAATTTTAATGATTCATTCATAGGCGTTGATGACGAAACCATAAAATGATAACAATTGATTCAAAATTGTTAATAATGTAATTGTAAAGAATTGATAAGTATATTGAAATCGTTAATAGTGATGAGGTATAATAATAACGATTGATTTCATAAATGCTGATAATGTCATTGCAAAATGTTAATAATGCATTGCAAGTTGCCACGAAGAGAGAGAGCATATATTTTTTAATTTTTAATTTTAATTTTAAAAAGTAAAAAAGTATGAAGTTCGAATTTATTAAATATTAAATAATAATATTTAATTAAACTAATTTCGAATTTCCTTTTCATTGTAGTGGAGAGAGAGGGTAATGGAGAAGATCAAGGGAGAGAGAGAAAGAGAATCATTAATGAGTAATATTAATTATATTTTTATAATACCTTATTTATTCTAACTAAATATTAACTACTAACCATCATTAACTACCTAATATAGTATCAGCCAATAAAAATAGTTTAAGAACCTTCTTAAACAATAAGGCTTAAGGACTGGATCCAACCCGATGAAAAGGTATATTTTAGTCTTTTATAAAATTTAACGGGGCTAATAATTTATCTACTAAAAAAACATATCAAATATGTCATTCACCTTCTAGCTTTTGTAGTTGGTCTATGATTGAATTACAAATTTACAATTATTAATTATATCAATCAATCGGTCTCACTCCTTACTCATATTATGTCTTCGATTATGTTAAGTTGTTTAATTTACTCCTTACATCTATCAAAAAATTTAATTTTTTTGCACAATTAAATCAGATTAATTATGCTCTTCAAAATGATATACACTTTGATATATTTTTCGAACAAAAAAAATTGAGCCATTTTTTACCAGTCCATACCATATGGTATTGATTGGAATTGAAATAAGAGCATACCTATAGTTTGAAAAGCGTAACATGGTGGTATGAACAAACCAAGACTGTAGGATGGTTGAATACATGATAGTAGAAGTATATTAACTGTCATTTACGACTTTTAACATTGTGTACCACAAGATACCACCCCGTACCAGGGTGGTATTGTATGATATTGTGTGGTATTTTTTGGTCCTGTAATTTGTTCACCCAGAAATTTGTAGATCCAATAGATCATGATGAACTCGTTCCTTCTGTGCAAACGTTTTCAAAAATGAATTAAAAACGAAGAAAATACCATATGGTATGCAGTTGGTATCGAGAGGCAAGAATTTTTTTTTTCTAAAAAAATATTGAAAATGGATCTCATTTTGTAGAGCACAACGAACTCGTTCTGTGCAAAAAAATTAAAATCCGAGTTAAAACGAAGAAGATATAAGCCGATTAAGAAAGCTAGGGAAAATAAAAATGACCTTTAATTCTCTATTCTTAGATCTGAATTTTCTAAATGAAGGGTTAAGTTTTAGTTATTGATGGATATTTGATTATTATCTCCTAAACAACATATTATTATTTGAGACATTGATTAGTTATTGGATATTTGATTACTATCTCAACAAAACATGAAGCACTAAACCAATGATTTTTATATGTTAATTTAAGCTGTACATGCTTTGAGTTAACATGTTAAACCCTAATTCTTGAATTAGTGATAATTTTCCAAACCTTAAACCCTAAGAACAAATACACTATGAATAATAATATGTGATTATAATTCTTCGAGATATATCCAACGTACAACATGCTCCATATGCGAATTTAAAGAAATAGAGTTTAATGTTTAGTCATTCACATTCGGATATAGTACATTTCGTTGATTCGTAGATTTAGTCAAATTAGGACAAAGTGTTTCGTTAAAAAATATATAATTATTGGTTACTTGCTGGATAAATCCTTACATTTTGAGATATTTATTTATTTATTTTATAACTTTAATCGAGAAGATATAACAAAATTGTTGCAGTCTAGTTGATTAGCTTCAAGATTCACCAATGGAGCCGAAACGAGAATTTTGAAACTCTCCTAATTCCCATCTTATACATCATCGATTGTCCGCGATGAAAACAATAATTGTATTCATTACCGAAACAAAAACAGTCATTTCGGTCATAGTGATTAATGGCCAATGGTCAAAGAAGAGTAGTGCTATGTTTTCCCATTTTCGCCGCCGACGCCGCCGTCGCAATCATCGTGATCGGCGTTGCTGCAGCACAAGATTACGCGAACTGCAACCGGCTGTTCGAATGCGGGCCCTTACGCTTCGGTTACCCTTTCTTGGGGCTGAACCGCCCAGCTTATTGTGGCCTCCTGGCGTTCAATCTCAATTGCAGTGACGGTAGAGTTCCGACGATCGCCATGTCCGGCCAACCCCCCACAAAATTCGAAAAAGCATGGACGTCCTCAAAAGGCTTGTTAACTTAGATGGTGCAAAGAAAGGGGAGTTTGTGCGAAACTTACATGAAAAGGAATTGTTGAACATAGAGAGGTGAACCGAACAGATTTTGAAGAATGCGAACAAGCATCGACGTCCTCAAAAGTTTGAGCCAGGAGATTGGGTCTGGGTGCACATGAGGAAGGAGTGTTTTCCCCTACCAAGACGTTCTAAGCTGCTGCCTCGTGGAGATTGACCTTTTCAAGTTCTCGCACGCATCAACGACAATGTATACAAGATTGATCTGCCAGGCGAGTATGGTGTGAGTGCTACTTTCAACGTTGTTGATTTGGCTCCTTCTCTTGACGACGAATCAGATTTGATGGCAAATCCTTTTCATGTGGAGGGGGTTGATGAGGGCATCAATGCCAAGATCGTTTCAAGCCCAACATTGGAACGAGAAGAGACTGCTCAAGTTTAGGGTCCAATTACTCGAAGTCAAACCAAAGCATTAAGGCTCAACTACAAGCATATTTGGCTAAGAGTTTCGCATCGCTGGAGCCTGAATTGTTTGTGGGCCAAGAGGTCAATATAATCTGCATCCAAGAAGAGAAAGAAGGTCAGACAAGCCCAAAGGGAAGTTCAATTCATGAAACCCGTTAAACTGGACCCGTTAAAAAACCTTGTGGACAGATTTTGATCAATAAGAAACCCTAGTTTTTAGTATTCAACTCTTACTTTTCTTTTTTGTCTGTTCATGGAATCGAGCCAGCTAGGAGAGTCTGACGTTATCAACTAGTTCATCACCCTAGTTGTGGAGTCACATCGTATACTTGATCCTGTTCCCAGCCGTGGAGTAGGTCCGAGTTAATTCCGCTTGTGTTCATTGTGTTACTAATCGTGTACTTTGCTGCGTTTCTGATTGATAAGTCCAGGAGTTGTAGCCTCGGTTTATATCACACTACATGCTTTGAGTTAAAATGTTAAATCTTAAATTCTCGAATGAGTGAATCCTAGGTGCTAAACTCAAATTAGTAAATCTTAGACCATAATTTTCCAAACCTTAAACCCTAAGAACAAATTTAGGGAATTATATATGAGAATTTAGGGAATTAGGGTTTAGTGTTTAGTCATTCACGTGCAAATTTATGCTATCAGCACAAAGTATTCGGCAGAAAATTTAAAATTATTGGTTATTTAGAGGACGCATCATTGTGGTGAATAACAAGTCCTTACATTTTGAGATGTTTATTTATTTTATAACTTCAATCGAGAAGACGTCACAAAATTGTTTGTAGTCTAGTTGATTAGCTTCAAGATTCACTAAATGGAGCCGAACGAGAATTTTGAAACTCTCCTAATCCCCATCTTAAACATCATCGATTGTCCGCGATGAAAACGATACTTGTATTCATTGCCCTGTACAAAATCAGTCATTTTATTCATAGTGATTAATGGCCAATGGTCGAAGAAGAGTAATGCTCTGTTTTCCCATTTACGCCGGCGCCGCCGTCGCCATCATCGCGATCACCGCTGCAGCGCAAGATTACGCCAACTGCAGCCGGCTGTTCGAATGCGGCCGCGTCCGAATCGGTTACCCTTTCTCGGGGCTGAACCGCCCTGCCTATTGCGGCCGCCCGGCGTTCAATCTCAATTGCAGCGGCGGCATAGTTCCAACGATTGCCATCTCAGGCCAACGCCACAAAATTCTCGACATCGACGAGCCGTCTCGGACCCTAACCGTCCTCCGGAGCGACTACAGGGGAATTCTCTGCTCCGACGACGATCCCGGGAACGCCACCGTGGACCCGGTCCCGTTCGATTTCACGCCGGACACTCAATTCTTGGCGGTGTACCGTGGCTGCCCGCCGCCGGAGTACGGGACGCAGCTGCCGGCGAGCTTGGGCGAGCTCAATTGCGGCCGCGATGGGCGCGAGGGTTACTACCTGTTGAGCGAGGACATGCTCGGGGGATTCGAGGGCTCCGTCAGGAAATTGTTGGGGTCGTGCGTGAATCGGGTTATGGTCCCTGTGAATCGGACGAAGCTGGAGAGATCGCCGCCGGCGTCGGCGAAGAGGCTGCCGGCGGCGATTTACCAAGGTTATGGGCTGCGGTGGACGGGGGGTTACGTTAGTGCTTGTGCCGAATGTGTGAAGTCCGGTGGGGAGTGCGGTTCCAATGAGACGGCGTCGGGTTCGTTCGCTTGCTATTGCTCCGGTGAGGCTTACGCCGCCGGATGTTTGGTCGGTGGCAGTGGTTTGCCGCCGGGAAATGCGTTCGATAAAACCGGTACGATTTTGTTCTTTTCCCCCTTAGTTAGTCAGTTCTCGTTTTATATTGATCACGACAATTGGTTGAATTGCTCAATGAATCGATATTGTTACATCGAATTTTCGAAAATTGAGAGGTTTCCGTGAGCTATAATTAACTTATAAAAAATGTAGTTTTTGACTTACTCAAATCCATAAATCAAACAATCTCTAAAAACCTTTTAGCAAGAATTGTAGATTCGTATGGGAGTTTCTACTAAAAATTAACAGTAGAATAATTTGTACTGAAATCGTTGTAACCTATAATTCATCTGTTTCGTTGCATTAAAAATCGTCTACTAATATAGACTCCGACAAGAGTTTGTTGCCATCGAATCAACGATACTATTTCACAAGCAGTGTGTTTTTAGGTGTTTTGATGGTGGAGATTTATTAAAGGGTAATATTTTCGAGTAATTTTCTCGACCTTTTTTTACCCTAAATCTTACAAAACTTGTATTGAAATTCCAGAAGCGAAGAAAAGGGTTTTGCTGAGAATATTGCTCCCAATTGCTGCCATCATTACTCTGTCCCTCACCGCCATCGCTATGTTTCATCACTTCCGAAGCAGAGGATTGAAGAAACAGAGCAGTAAAAACTTATCTCTCCTTCCCAAGCCACCAGAATTCAACAAACTGCAGTCATCCAAATTGTCACCATTCAACGTCGAGTCTCCTCCAAATCTACAATCATTCACCTTCTCCGAAATCAAAGCAGCGACTAACGACTTCTCCACTGACAACTTGCTCGGATCTGGTGGGTTCGGCCATGTCTACAAGGTCAGTGAAGCTTTCTTTCCCCTGAAACCTGACAGGTTTCCTGAAACATGAACTCTTTTCTTCTTCTTTCTAGTGTGTGTTCCCTGGAGGTGAGGAAATGGCGGTGAAACGGCTCTCGAAATCGTCGACTCAGGGGCTCCTGGAGTTCACGAACGAGGTTTCGCTCACCGTGAGGCTTCAGCATGTGAACCTGGTAAGGGTCGTGGGGTTCTGCACTGAGTATGAAGAGAAGATGCTGGTGTACGAGTTCATGGCCAACAGAAGCTTGGACATTTACCTCTTCGGTAAAGGTTTCTTTTATCATACTTCATTAGTGATAGTTGTCACAAGAATGATTCAATGATTTTGGTTTCCTGGCTACCATGGGGGCAGATCCAGTGAAAAAATTGAGCCTGGATTGGAACACTAGGGTTAGGATCATCGAAGGAGTGACTCAAGGACTTTTGTACCTCCAGGAGTACTCCAACTTCACCATTATTCACAGGGATATAAAGGCCAACAATGTTCTTCTGGATGATGGGATGAATCCGAAGATTTCAGATTTCGGGATTGCAAAATTGTTCGGGAAAGATCTGGACGAAGCAAACACCAACACGATTGTCGGAACCTAGTAAGTCTTCATAACACATCTATGAACAAATACTTATTTTTTTAGCGTGATGACTATTAATATATCCTCTTGGATCGAAGAATGATATGTATGTGTCTCATGTACAATGTGGTATGCAGTGGATACGTTCCTCCTGAATACGTGAAGCATGGGATATATTCAATGAAATACGACGTCTACAGCTTCGGGGTTTTGCTCTTGCAAATCATTAGCGGCAAAAGGACCCAATGTTACTATGGTACAGAAGAAGACATGCACCTGTTAGACCATGTAATAAGTCACCTGTTCCCTCCCTCCTATCTTGACAAAGTTTCATGTATAAAATCTTTTGCAATGCTATAACTTGTGAGAATGTGATTTCCACAGGCTTACGATTCATGGAGAAGAGGGGAAGGAATGGAATTTTGTGACCCTTTATTGGATGATTCATCTTCACAATGTAAGATGATAAACTGTCTGCAAGTAGCACTGTTGTGTATTCAGGAAGATCCCGATGACAGGCCAACAATGTTGGAAGTATCATCTATTTTGAAGAACGGTGCTCGGAGAATGGATGTCCCCAAGGTACCTGCATTTTCTGTGAGAAGGGAAATGATGTCTGCCATGAATTCTAGATGCCAGCAAGAAATGTTTACGTATAATATTTCTGACATCTCTTCAGTAGAACCCCGTTGATACAACACAAATTGTGTTGTAGAGCTAGACAAAGACATTGTCATTTCCAAGATGCAGGATTCCATCAACTTGGACATTGTAACTCGGGATGGAAAATATTGTAGGGAGGGAGAAGATTATCTCCGACGTTCATCAAGGAAGAGTATGAGTGATCGAGAAATCATTCAACGTCCAAACAAGGCTCAACGTGCCAATGCCTCGCGAAGGAAGGCAAAACTTCAATACACAAGGCAAAGCAAAAACGGACACAACAAATCCCCCCCCTAACAAAACACAAGAGAGGCACACAAATATTGTGATTATTGTTCAATGTGTAATCATTGAAAAGGTTGAAGAAGTCACACAAGTCCGCAACAATTTTGTTCATTGTACACCGAAATCAAGTTTCTCAAGCAATGCAAATAAAAACGGTTAGACCATTCCACTTATTCCTCTCTTTCTATTAAAAAAAAAAGTTTGAGATCTTTAAAGTTCTTGTGATTTCGTAGGCTTACGACTCATGGAGAGGAGGGGAAGACGTGGAATTCTGTGAACTTTCATTGAATGATTACTCTTCACAATGTACGTTTGATGACATGTTTGCAAGTAAAAATGTTGTGCGTTCAAGAAGATCCCGAGAACCAGAGCTCTTTGAATGGTATCTGCCACGAATTTTATCTTACAACAACAAATTTGGCCATATGGGGTTGACCGTCATAAACCAACTGGTCCCAATAACTCTAGTTGTTGAAAGAAAGTTATGTCGTATCTTATACCATTCTCTAACACGCTCACTCAAACGAAAGCCAACCCATGAGCTTGAAGTTTGCACATGTCCACCCTATCTTGTGCTATAATCAACAGTTAATATTGAGAGACGTGGAGATTCGAACACACGACCACTTGGTCAAACCAACTCTAATACTATGTCATAAATCAATGGGTCCCAATAACTCGAGTAGTTGGAAAATATTATGTTGAATCTTATACCACTCTTTACCACCGACCTCTCTCAAGTTGAATCCATGTAATAAAACACGTACAAATCACAGGGAGAATGCAACTGTGAGAAAAGAAAACAAACAGGAAGTGGAAAGTAGACGACTCTTATTGTTGTGAAAGCCAATCCAAGATCTTCCCGAGTTGGCTTTAAACTAGCTTAAGCAAACGAAAAAACAAACAGGTGGGCGAGAAAATTGAAGAACATCCCTGCGATGAAATCAATAAGCGATGCTTCATCCTTTCCATCGTCTCTGCCTCAAACAGAGTTTGGTAATTTTGGTAATTTTGTCATAAATGGCCAAATGGATGGGATCGGTGGGAGAAGACTGAAGAGTAATGCTCTGTTACTCCATTTTTGCCGGCACCGTCGCCATCATCATAATCAGCGCTACAGCAGCGCAAGATTATCCAAACTGCAGTCGACAGTTCGAATGCGGCGACTTCAGAATTGGCTACCCTTTCTCGGGGGCAAAACGCGCAGCCAACTGCGGCCTCCCGACGTTGCGTCTCATCTGCGGTGCCATCGCGATTCCGATGATCGGCATCCTCGGCATACCTCACAAGATTCTCCGAATCGACGAACCGTCTCGGACACTTACCCTTCTGCGAGATGGCGACGGTGATATCCTCTGCTACCCTCCGCGAAACACCACCTTGGATCCGGGTTTCTTCGATTTCGCGCCGGACACTCAATTTGCTCTGCTCTACTACTATTGCCCGCCGCCGGACGCCGGCGTTCGACTCCCGCCGAGCATCGGCCAGTTCAATTGCAGCAGCGGTTCAGGGGGTTACTTTCTGCCGAGCGAGTACCTGCTTGGGGGAATCGAGGATTCCGTCAGGACTTGGTTGAGATCGTGCGGGATTATGGTTAGGATGCCCGCGAATCGGACGGAACTGGGGATGCCGGCGAATCAGACGGAGCTGGGGATCCGGCGGCCTACGGCGGCGTCAGCGGACTGGTTGGCGACGGTGATGTACCGAGGTTTTGGGCTGCGGTGGACGGGGGATTACGAGGACGCTTGCCGCAATTGTAAGGGATCCGGTGGGAAGTGCGGTTTCAACGAGACGGCGACTCGTCCTTTCGTTTGCTATTGCTCCGATCAAGCTTACGCCTCCGACTGTTTGTCTCTTACCAATGCTTCGCCGCCGCCGGAAAAAGCGCTCGATAAAGCCGGTATGATCTTTCTCTTTTTCTCCTCGAATTGAATTTTATTGGACCGAATCGAATAAACCAAACATACTTTTGTGTGATCCTGATCCTTGTTTCTGCTTTGATTTTGGTTCGGTCATGTCTCAATGATGCTGAAATTTTTGCATTGAAATTCAAGAAGGGAGGAACAGGGTCCTGCTGAAGATCTTGCTCCCAATTGCCGCCTTCGTTACTCTGTCAGTTGCTGCCATCACTTTTTTTTACTGCATCCGAAACAGGGCATCGCAGAATCAGAATGGTAAAACCTCATCTCCCCTTCTGAAACCACTAGAGTTCATCAAAATGCAGCGAGCCAAATCGGCACCATTCGGCGGCCAGGGCAATGTCGAGTCTCCTCCGAGCCTCCAAGCATTCACCTTCTCTGAAATCAAAACGGCAACCAACGACTTCTCTGATGATAACTTGCTCGGAGCTGGTGGGTTCGGCCCTGTTTACAAGGTCAGTAAAAAGCTGTCTTCCCCACAAACCTGACAGGTTTCATGAAACATTAACTTTTTTTTTTCTTCTTCTTTCTAGTGTGTGTTCCCGGGAGATGAGGAAATGGCGGTGAAGCGGCTTTCAAAATCGTCGACTCAGGGACTCCTGGAGTTCACGAACGAGGTCTCACTCACAGCGAGGCTTCAACATGTGAACCTGGTCAGGGTTGTGGGTTTCTGCACCGAGAAAGATGAGAAGATGTTGGTCTATGAGTTCATGCCGAATAGAAGCTTGGACATTCACCTCTTTGGTAACAGCTTCTTACTTGCTATGTACTTCGCTACCGTTACTTAAGCTAGTTTGGCTCGGCAATGAATGGATTTTCGTCTCTTATTTATAATGGGGCAGATCCGGTTAAAAGATTGAGCTTGGATTGGAGCACTAGGATTCGGATCATTGAAGGAGTGACTCAAGGACTTTTGTACCTCCAGGAGTACTCCAACTTCACCATCATTCATAGAGACATTAAGGCGAGCAATGTTCTTCTGGATGATGGGATGAACCCGAAGATTTCGGATTTTGGGATGGCGAAACTCTTCATGAAAGATTTGTATGAAGCTAACACCAATAAAATTGTCGGGACTTAGTAAGTCAACGAAGCATCTCTCTGGACACATAATCGTTATTGACAATAGTGTGACTAACGGGTCCTTCGAATCACCAAATAAAATGTTTTATGTGATGTACAATGTTATATATGCAGTGGATATGTTCCTCCCGAATATGTGAAGAATGGGATATACTCGATAAAGTATGACGTCTACAGCTTCGGGGTTTTGCTTCTACAAATTATTAGCAGCAAAAGGACCCAAGATTACTATGGTCCAAATGAAGACATGCATCTCTTAGACCATGTAATGATTCCACTTATTCTCCCTTCCTATTTTAAACAAAGTTTGAGATATTATTAATTAGTTCTTACTCGTGATTTCCTTATAGGCTTATGACTCATGGAGAAGAGGGGAAGGTATGGAATTCTGTGACCCCTCATTGGACGATTCCTCTTCAGAATGTAAACTGATGACATGCTTGCAAGTGGCGTTGCTATGCGTTCAAGAAGATCCCAACGACAGACCAACAATGTTGGAAGTTGCGTTCGCTCTGAGAACCGGAGCTCTGAAAATGGCTTCCCCGAAGAAACCTGCTTTTTCGGTGAGATTGGAACCCGTATCTCCCACGACTCCCAAATTCCGCCAAGAAATTTGGTCTTGTAACGTTGCTGACATCTCTCAAGTCGAACCCCGATAACACAACAACACGTCTCTGGTGAGGTGTTGCCGAAATTCTTTTGATGTTAATAGACTTTGAACGAACTATGAGATAAGAACATCATCATCTTCATTCATTGAGAAAACGTACCAGTGATCACAGATTGAGAAACCGTTCAACGTGAAAACACTTCAATCAAAACATGAGAGAAAATTACACGACCATTCATCATCATAAAGAATCAAAACAACAACAGGCAGTGATAATTTGTTTCAACTCAACATTTTGGCATCAAATTACCTAACCCAATCCTCTACAACCTAAGCTTTAAAAACTTGGAAAAAGTAATGAACAAACCCCCTTCAAAGAAGATTTCTTCTCGGGTTCGGTTTCAGTTTCACAATCATTAGTTAAATCTTGTATCGTTTTCATACGCTATGGCTAATGTACAAGGCTCATCAAATTTTTCCTTAACCAAGAAATTCTTTAGCTCTAACAATAATTTGCGTACAAAACGAGTTCATAAAACAATGGGGCATTTCCACTTAATTTAATGTTATGAATGCATAACATGGATCAAATTTCATGTACAATAATATTCTTCTAATTACTTAAGAACCATAACATTCAGATTAATCCACTAGTCTAACACCAAAAGAATAACAATCTAAATCTCAACTTCAAAAGGAACACTTCAACTCTCATCCTTAACTCTCATCCTTAATCAGAAAGTTTGTGCCCACATTATTCTCGCCGGCGGCGCCACGCTTCTTGGTCGCCCCGACCCAACGAACCAATGACAACCATCCACGGTTGTTCATCTTCGCCGCCGTTCTCTTGTCCCCGGGGAACGTGACCGACCTCCTCAAACACGCGATGGCCATGTTGCTGTCATCATCATTACTACTACTAGAAGAGGAATAAGCGTCGAACAATGAGAACGATTCAGGCATGGTAGCGCGCGTCCCACACCCCTATTTGGTCACTCCTCGATAGAAAGATTGAAGAATCGAATCGAACACTCGCGACGTTTGATTAGTAATGAAATAAGATTAGTAATGAAATAAGATGACTTTCACTTTTTGGTCAACATAAAAATTATTATTTTTTAAAATGTAATACGCGAAGCGATACCGAGCGGATTTTTGCTAGTAACACCAATTTGGGTGTTATCACTCATTCAAGAAGATTTCAACAACAGGGAGATAGACCGTGGAAGTTGCATCCACTCCGAGAATCAAAGCTCTTCGAATGGTTTCCCCGAAATCGAAACTTGCATTTTGAGGAAGAAGAGAACCCGTACCCTGGCACAAGTTTCAGATTCCAGCCAGAGATTTGGCCATATAAATGATGCTGACACCTCTCAAGTTAAACCCCTAAAATACAAACATCATCAGGGACAATGCAACTGTGAAAAAAAAAAAACAAACAAACAGGAAGTGGAAAGTACACAACTCATATCATTGTGAAAGCCAATCCAAGATCTTCCAGAGTTGGCTGTAACTAGCTTAAGCAAACAAAACAACAAGCAGCCGGGCGAGAAAATTGAAGTAACAATGTTTTTTTTTTCCCTGCGATGAAATCAATAAACACTGCTCCATCCTTTTCCATTTCCTCTGCCTCAAACAGAGAGTTGGTAATTTGGTCACTGTCCTAAATGGCAAATGGATGGGAATGGTCGAAAAAGAGCAATGCTCTGTTTCTCCATTTTTGCCGGCACCGTCGCGATCATCATGATCAGCGCTACAGCGCAAGATTATAAAAACTGCAGCCGCAAGTTCGAATGCGGCGACTTCCGAATCGGGTACCCTTTCTCGGGGGTCAAACGCCCGCGCCACTGCGGCCTCCCGTCCCTCGGTCTCAGCTGCAGCGCCAGCGTGTTTCCGATGATCGGCCTGCTCGCCATACCCTACAAGATCCTCCGAGTCGACCAACAGTCTCGGACCCTTACCGTTCTGCGAGACGGCGAAGGTAGTATCCTCTGCTTCCCTCCGCGAAACACCACCTTGGATACGGATTTCTTCCATTTCGCGCCGGACACTCAATTTGTTTTGCTCTACAATGATTGCCCGCCGCCGCCTGCCGGCGTTCAACTACCGCCAAGTATAGTCCAGTTCAATTGCAAGGGTCCAGGGTATTACTTTCTGCCGAGCGAGGACCTGCTCGGGGGATTGAAGGATTCCGTCAGGAGTTGGTTGGGATCGTGCGGGTATCTAGTTAGGTTGCCGGTGAATCGGACGGAGCTGGGGAGCTTGCCGGTGAGGTCGGCGGGTAGGTTGGCGGAGGTGGTTTACCGGGGTTTTGGGGTTCAGTGGACGGGAAAATACGACGGTGCTTGCGGCAATTGTATGAACTCCGGTGGGGAGTGCGGTTCCAACGAGACGTCGCGGCTCTTGTTCGCTTGCTATTGCTCCGATCAAGCATACGCCTCCGGCTGTTTTTCCCTTAACAGTCCTTCACCGCCGGCAAAACCGCTCCATGAAGCAGCCGGTACGTTCTTTCTCTTTTTCTCCTCGAGTTCTCCTCTCAGATAATGGCAATAAGTTAGTGGTAAGAGTAGGCAATTATTCGGTGTCCACACGCCGAACTGAATCTTACCGAATCGATATTTGGACGGAATCAAACTTAGATAGTAAATTCAAAGTAGAATTTTTTTTACTCCGGCAGTACAATTGCTGAAATTTTGCATTGAAATTGAAGAAGGGAGGAACAGGGTCCTGCTGAAGATCTTGCTCCCAATTGCCATCTTCATTACTCTGTCCGCTGCTGCCATCACTCTGTTTTACTACATCCGAAACAGGGCATTGCAGAATCAGAATGGTAAAACCTCATCTCCCCTTTTGAAACCACTAGAGTTCATCAAAATGCAGCGAGCCAAATCGGCACCGTTCGGCGGCCAGGGCAACGTCGAGTCTCCACCGAGCCTCCAAGCATTCACCTTGTCCGAAATCAAAACGGCAACCAACGACTTCTCCGACGATAACTTGCTCGGAGCTGGTGGGTTCGGCCCTGTGTACAAGGTCAGTAAAAAGCTTTCTTCCCCTGAAACCTGACAGGTTTCCTGAAACATGAAATTTTGTTTCCCTTTTTTTCCCCCTAGTGTGTGTTCCTTGGAGGTGAGGAAATGGCGGTGAAGCGGCTCTCGAAATCGTCGACTCAGGGACTCCTGGAGTTCACGAACGAGGTGTCACTCACCGCGAGGCTTCAGCATGTGAACCTGGTCAGGGTTGTGGGTTTCTGCACTGAGAATGATGAAAAGATGTTGGTCTACGAGTTCATGCCGAATAGAAGTTTGGATATTCATCTCTTTGGTAAACGAATCTTGCCTTTTTCTGTACTTTAACTCTGTTAGTTGAGCTAGCTTGACGCAGGAATGAATGAGTTTATGTGTCATGTCCATAATGGTGCAGATCCAGTGAAAAGGTTGACCATGGATTGGAGCACTAGGGTAAGGATCATTGAAGGAGTGACTCAAGGACTTTTATACCTCCAGGAGTACTCCAACTACACTATCATTCATAGAGACATAAAGGCAAGCAACATTCTTTTAGATGACGAGATGAACCCGAAGATATCAGATTTTGGGATGGCAAAACTCTTCATGAAAGATTCGTATGAAGCCAACACCAATAAGATTGTCGGGACCTAGTAAGTCACTAAAGCATCTCTCTAAACGTATAAATGTTTTTTTATAATGGTGATTAATGATTCTCAATCACCAGATGAATGTTTATCTCATTGACGATTTGTTATGCAGCGGATATGTTCCTCCTGAATATGTGAAGAATGGGATATACTCGATAAAGTATGACGTCTATAGCTTTGGCGTTTTGCTTCTACAAATTATTAGTAGTAAAAGGACCCAAGATTTCTATGGTCCAAATGAAGACATGCATCTCTTAGACCATGTAATGATTCCACTTATTCTCCCTTCCTATTCGACTAAAAGTTTGAGATTGGTTGATAAATTCTTACTTGTGATTTCATCGTAGGCATATGACTCATGGAGAAGAGGGGAAGGCATGGAATTCTGTGACCCCTCATTGGACGATTCTTCTTCGCAATGTAAGCTGATGACATGTTTGCAAGTGGCATTGTTGTGCGTTCAAGAAGATCCCAACGACAGGCCAACAATGTTGGAAGTTGCATCGGCTTTGAGAAATGGAGCTCTTAAAATGGCTTCCCCAAAAAAACCTGCATTTTCTGTAAGATTGGAACCCGTAACGGCCACGAATTCCAAATTCCGCCAAGAGATTTGGTCTTATAATGTTGCTGACATCTCTCAAGTCATTCCCCGATGACACAACAATACAAAAGTGTGGATGAGTTGTTGTGTAACGAGTTAGGGTTAATACTTTATTTTGGTCTCAACTATGACCATATAATCAACTTTAGCTCGTGGTTTCATAAATTAACATCATGATCTCAACTATGCAACATATAGACTCAATTGGCCCGAAACATGGTTTGACCGTCAATTTGGACGGCCAACACGCCATTTCATTGCCTTGTCAGCCTAAAAATCACATGCCCTATGAGGTATTGACAATAACTCATTAATGAGTTGTTTCAAATTAACTCAAGTATAAATAACTCACCAATAACTTTTGTAGAAAAATGGGTTATTTATTTGCACCCAAATAACTCAAAATGAGTTTTTTGGGCCCAAATAACTCATTGCAAATAACTCATACGAATAACTCATTCAAACGACCCCTAAGTGCAAAGTGCATCTCTGCTTAATTAATTGTTAAAAGGTATTCTATAAACCTGAATATTTTTTATCATGATTATATGCATCTTCTTCGGAGCATCTATACTTTACAACCATCACTAAGAAGAGTGTAAGTTAGGTGTTGACGAAATTCGTTTGATGTTAAAAGACTTTGAATGAACTATGAGAAAATAACATTGTCACTTTCATTCATCGAGAAAGAGTTCCAGTGATCATAGTGAGAAACCATTTGAAGTCAAACACTTCAATCAAACATGAGAAAAAATACTCAACCGCTCATCGTCCTAAAGAATCAAAACAACAAAAGCCAATGATAGTTTACTTCACCTCAACATTCTGGCATCAAATCACCTACCCAATCATCCACAATCTAAGCTTTAAAAACATAGAAAGTGTGACAAACTGACAATGAACAAACTCTTAAAAAAACATTTCGCCTCGCATACGATTTCACAGTCATTAGTTGAAAATCTTGTATCGTTTGCATAAGCTGACCGGGTTAATGTACAAGGAACTCTAAGCCTCATCAAATTTTTTCCTTAACGGAGAAATTCACTAGTACCAAACAATAATTTGTATACAAAATGAGTTCATACAACAATATGGACATTTCATTTCCACTTAATTACACATCTTATGATTTTGAATCCATGACATGGATCAAATTTACATGTACAATAAAATTCTTCTAATTAATTAAGAATCATAACATACAGATGCCAACGATCTGAAGAAAAAGAAAAAAGAATACTCTAATCTCAACTTAAAAAGAACACTTTAACTCTCATCCTCAATCAATAAAATTGTGCCCACGTTATTCTCGCCGGCGGCGGCCCCAGGCTTCTTGGACGTCGTCTCGACCCAACCAACGAAACACAACCGGCCACGGCGGTTCATCTTCGCCGCCGTTCTCTTCTCCCCCGGGAATGTGACCGACCTCCTCAAACAAGCGATGGCCATGTTGCTACCATCATCATTCCTACCACCAGAAGAAGAATGTTTAAGGCTAGATGACCTCTTCAGCTTGTGAAGGGCACAGTCGCAGAACCGATGGTACGGCCTCCTCCGTTTCTCCATGTCGAAAATCGAGATGCAGGCGTCGAACATCGAGAATGATTCAGACATGATAGGGCCTTCGACACCCCCCTCTATCGCTCCCTCCTCGCTAGAAAAGAGTAGTGGATAAATCAAATCGAATCGAACACTGGCGACGACAAGCAGGCAGGCACCATGACTGCTCTCTTTCTCGATCTTGTGGTTTCGACAACCCAATGCTCGATCTAATTAATTACTCAGCCTGAACACACTATATGAATTAGTGTCGAGCTTTGGTTTGATGATGATCCAATGGAGGAATGCTAGTGATGGTTATATATGAGTGTGGTAAAAAAAAACTAAAAAGTTCTACGTACGTTGATGCCCCCTCAAAACGACGAACATGAAAGGAGGAAAACGACAAAATTTCGTTCGCCGATTCTGAAAATGTGCCGGCCGTAGTGGTAGGAAAATTTGTAGTAATTACAGGGTGAAATCCTTGTCTTTTACCGTTCTACCCAAGAATCTTCTGTGGGGGATCATTGCCGTTCCGGTTAATTCGATGGAGAGAATACGACAAGCCGCTTTGGTAGTTTAGTTACATTTTGGCTTTCATTTACATGTAACGTACTTTTTTTTTAGCAGTAATTATGGGTAATTGAAAAATGAAAGCAAATATCGTACGTGATATTTTTCTCGATAACTTTGGTTTTCTTTCACGTTTCGAGTTTTTTTTTTAAAATTATTATATACAACACTTGGCAACAAATTAAGGATGTAGCAACGTTGATTGGCGTCGAAAACAACGTGAAGTGGGTTGTAATCGGAATAATAGTCCATGTCCTGTAAACGTAATGACATGTGACGTTGAGTAATTTGATAGTATGGTATGAGTGATCATATGAAGCGGTATATGGTTGGTCACAAAGTGAACTATGTTCTCCTGAATAGGGATTAAACCCTCTAGTATTGTGGTTAAATTGACAAGACGATCAATCACTATGTTATTCCGTTGTGGTTACTGGTTAGTATGGTACAGACATTTTAATTCGTTTAAACCGGTTATTGTACCGGATCGGGGTGTGGTTGGGCCTAATGCGAGCCCAACAGGAGTTTCTTGCGACTCATCAGAACAAAACCAAAGTAATAAACTATTGTCGCTCTGTAGTGTTATTAAGGCCCATTTTATGGAAGAAGCTGGGCTTAACTACTGGACTTGCATCATTTTACGGCACTGCTAATTTTGGATTTAGACAGACAACTGGGCCCAAAGGCTCGTAATCACCAAACTCTTTTTTTTTTATCAAACAAACCTTGAAATGGCAAAAAAAAAAAAAAAAAAAAAAAAAATCAAACAAACCCTGAATTTTGGTTCTTAACAATAGCTAGAATTTTGGTCTTGTATGAATGCTTTTATTTTTGTGGAGCATACCCAAATTCTGAAATGAAACTTGATATTGTGTTGAAATGTCAGCCTTTGTACATTACCAAGTCGTTCGACTACCTTGCATATTGTTAATAATTGTACAAAGCGGTAAATGATGCCTTATTTTTGAACTTCTAATCGTTAAAATTGCATATTTTTTCTTGACAATAACAATTATAGTATCACAAGAGAACATATGTATAGAGTTTAAGAAAATAAGGGATCAACCTTATTCGAAGACAATACACGATAGGATTGTCTACATGAAGAGCTTAACGAAATTGATAAAAACACATTCATTAAACAAAAAATCGGTAACCCTTTTCCCCTCTTTCTGTCTTCCTAGTTAAATTTATATGGTATATACTATATAGTCTCTGAAAAATTCAACTATCTCATTAATCCAACTTGATCATGACTCATCTACGAGATCTACGGACGAAGAGACCGGACAGGAACTGACTCGTGACCGCTAGACGAGGCCGAGATGGCCAAAGATCCCCTCGCCTTCTTCGTGAACGACAAGTTCCTCTCCGAGGACCAAACTCGAGAACATTTACCTTTCAGCTTGTGAAGTGCACACTCGCAATTCTTATGGTACGGCCTCCTCTCGATCACCGTGTCACTGATCGATAAGCTCCCTTGCAACAACGCACATCGAACCATCATGCTCGCTATCGAGTCGGCCATTCGATGCTACTAACTATCAACCAATTATTCTCCTCGCCCAACCCAAGCAATTTCACAAACAAGTAGTTCTACAAGATGAAAGTATTGTTTCTCTGGTTTATGTTTGAGTGGAGGGTGGTTTCTTTGCCTCACACTCCCAAAGGTCTTTATATAAATTATAAGGAAAGTAGTTATAGGAAACTATGGCAGAAGAGAGTTCTTCTGCAAGCTCTAGGGGGACAAATTTTGGACTAATTGTTCCCACCAAACCAATGCCAGGTGGAACTGATATTTTAGACCCATTTTAGGCAATTTTTTTTGTTTTCAGTTTTCACTGTTAGCCCTTCCTTTGTTTTCTTTGAGGTGACGCATGTGGTTAATTATGGCAAGTCTTCGCCGGCCGGCAGACGGATTCTATAACTAATTCTTTCTGTGTTTCGTTGGGGGATGTTTCATTTCATTATACGGTTATGGCCTTATAGGGGAAGGGAACATATTCATAGTTCCCATAAAAGGTTCCTAAGTAGCCTTTTTTTTTAATCTATTTCATCGCCTATACAATTACGATGTCACTAAAATAAAAAAATCTCAGATCGTTGTACACAATACCTCGTGTTTAAATTAATTATTAATTATAAGGAAGTGGTTAAATACTTTACATGGACATCGGCTAACGAGTTATTAAGATCAAATGGTCCTTGAAATGGTAGCATAGTTGGTTTGTTTTTGAAGCACACGTTCAACTCCTCACGAACGTCAATATTAATCGTTGTCTTAAAGCACATGGTATGGGAGGCATGTGCAAACTTCGAGACCATGAGTCGGCTTTCGTTTGAGAGGGCGTGTAAGAAAGTGGTTAAGTACCATACATTGACCTCTTCTAACGACTCGTGTTATATATTGGGATCAAATGTTATTGACATTAATATTCTTTGGGGGTTGGGGTGATTTGAATACGAGATTTCTCGATCTTTATATATTGTGATACCTTATGTAAAACACAAATTCATCTCAGTAGCTCGAATTTTTGTGAGATGTTTAACATAGGTCTTATATCGTTCCAGTTCTCTCAAACATATGTTTGTCATATCTTGTACTTAAGTCAACCATAAGTATTGAGAATGATAAAATTTTGAATACAAAACATCCCAATTGCCATAATTTCTGATATCATGTAAAAAATCGGATCGGATTGATATCCTACTAACTCGAGTCGTTGGAATATATCAAGTACATATTTTATACTGTTATCTTTACATAAGTAGATTATTGCAACGACAAATCAGATTTTTTTTTTGTAAAAAAAAAAGACAAATCATATTTTTAGTTCCACGTCCATAAAAAGGTAAAACAGAAAGATATTTTAGGTTAAACGTACGTGGAATAAGTTGGCGGCCGGTGGGCAAAGAATCTTTAGCTAATCACTATTATTTAATTTAATTTCTAGGCGATGAAAAAGCTAGGAATGTTGGCCACGTAGGGAGGTTAACGATAATTAAATACTTATGAACCTTAACTTCTCTTCTAACGAACTGAAGTACCTAAACTGTTCGCCGGCCGCCTGCCGGGGAAAGCTATATATGCTATATATATACAGTAAAATGCACCTTGTTGTTCTATTCAAGTACAAAACAAGGAAAATTACAAAATGCTGATATTTCTAAAAAAAAATTGATGAAATAATTAGAACTTTCCAAATCCGAGGACTAATTATGCCGGTACTTGGAGAATCTATATTCAAGGTCAGTTGGTGGGAACTGGGAACAATCAGTCCAATGTTTCCCCTCAATAGTTAACTAGCTTATAACCCAGCCCATTGGTCGGAATGTTCATATTTGATTACTAGTCACGGGTCCGATCAGTTGGTGGGATTCAGTCGTAATGACGTAACCAACATTAGGAATTTGTATGTGAGATACACATTTTTTGTAGTATAATGAAAGTTGAATTATACAAATACTCAAAACATTCAAATTCATTAGTAGAATAAGAGAATCGAGATTATTAAAATACTTCAACAATTCAAAAGGATCAACATCACAATGTTCTTCGACATTTTAATAACTCATTGACTAAAATCCTTTAATGAAAATGAAACAAAAACCCTGTGCAAAGGAACTGAGTCCTACAAACATTTTCAAATCACCCTGAGCAACATCATCATCTCCACCAATAATAATGTCTTCATATTCATTAGTGATACATTTATATACATTATCAATTGTTTCTTCCTTCTTCTCTTGCATTTCAATACTATGTGGAGTATGTTTCTTCAATGTTTAAAACCAACTATTTAAGTGTTTGAGCGGATCAAGCAAATTGTTTGAAGTTTAATAGTCGAATCGCGGTCCAATGATTTAAGTCGTTTATCCATATTATAAAAATATACCCAAATATATAGTAATAATTTAAGATTTTAATAACCTAAGTGTAATTTGATAGGCACATAAACTAATTTAGCAATTCATATATTATCTGATACTAAAAACTGCCTATATATGCTTCATTTTTCTTAATAGGGTTTTGAGAAGGAGAGCCAGAAACCGATCAACATATTCTTTCTTCCATGTTTGTTGCGATTGCATTTGCTCTTTTTTCTACTCGGCGCACAATTGTTATTGTCTTGGTACCACAGAAGATGATGGCCACAGTTAGTTTATTCTTTATACGGATATGCGAATTCATACATATTCTTTTTATATTTAAATGAGTATAAATAATCATAGCAACTGTGGAGAAATACATGTTATATTTGATACCATAAAATTTTCAAATTATTTCATTATTGGAAATATCATTACTCGTACAATCTTCAATATTGCTAATGACCCAATTTGTTGACTAAATTCCATACAAAAAATAAAAAACAAATCACGTAAGAACATCGACTCCTAAAAATTTAATAAGACAACACCATTTGCTGCTCACTTTCAAGAATTAGTACAAATTTTGATTGGCTTTCTTATGATAGCTCCACCATCTAAAGCTCTATTATCTCCACCCATTACATTACCTTCGTCTTCCTTAATGAAACTTTTAACTTCACAATAGGCTCTTCTTTCCTTTTTATTATTTTTCATTTCATTGGAAGTCAATATTTAATAGTAAAATGTTTAGAAATACTAAACATTACATGCAAAAGAATTTACATCGTTCAATCAATAACATTTCATGAGACTTTTTTATTTCCCATAACACTGATAAAAAAACCAAGCGACCAACACAAAATTTGATAATCTATAGATTGAAAACTTAATGATAACTCGTACGAATGTTGACTATTTTCCAATAAAAACAATTCTGTTTTCTAAAATATATTTACATAATTGATAATCTATAGATTGAAAACTTAATGGTAACTGATAGGAGTGTTGACTAACGATCAACTTTCGGGTTTGGCCAAATTAGTAAAGTGTAGGGTTAGTTTGCATACTTTATTGCCAAAAGGCCAGACAAATTTTTATTATATATTTGCATACTTTATTGCCCACTTTGTAAAGATGGCATCGGAAATTTTAGTGTTTGAAGAAGAGAATTATTGACCCTTCAATGAATGTCATTTTCTATCTTTGATGGTTTTTACATTATTCGGGTTAATATATTGGACTTTGCTACGGTGACATGCATGTCACGGTGACATGCACTTTTCGGTCGACCTCATATAGGATCAGGTCGACCTAATCTGTTGTTTCAGTGTAAAAACAGTTTCATGGTGCCTACTTTGGAGATTCATATCTTACAATTGGCTAGATGGAAATTGGAGATTAAAGGCTTGTTTTGAAGCTGAAGTGTCCCTCTACACATTAAAGTAGGGGTGAACAAACACACCCGCAAACCGACCCACCCGTCCAATCCGACCCAACCCACCCGTATTTATCGCTAAAATGAAGGTTTTGGGTTGGGTGAGAGTTTTCTTTTGTACAACCCGCCTCTATTGGGTTGGGTTTGGATTTTGGATTACACAACCCGTAGAACCCGACCCAACTCGTGTTCCAATTATTGGTATGAGTTCTTATCCAAAAAAACTATTTATGTCATATATAGTCATACTTATGAGAAAATTAAGATATTTTGCCATGTTTTTCTCTTAAGGTCTCACTAATCTAATGCATTTTTCGACTTAAAGTTTAGACATAGATTTAATATACCTATGATTCACGTAATTCTTTTTCTTGTGTACAATTTTAATAGAATAACATATTCTAGATGCGTTCATTTGTAACCTTTTTAGCCTATTTCAACAAATATCGTGAAAAAAACTAGACATAAATTGAAGTAAATAAAATTTTATTAAAATTCAAACAATATTTGTGAATTTTGATACCTTTCACCTCGGTTTATTCGTTTGAATTTTTAATTTGTTATAAAATATTTTTATGGTGTAGAATAATTACATATTTTGTGTTGGGTTGGATTTTTACTTAAAAATATCGCCAACCCGACCCAACCCAATTAGAAACAAACCGTAGGGTTTAAATTTTTTTGGGTGGGTTTGTGTTTAATATTTCTCAAACCGTAGTGCATGGGTCGGGTGATTAAAATGCCTAAACCCGGACCACCCGACCCATGTACACCCCTACATTAAAGTACTTGGGAGCTCAATAGAAAGTCCAGAAGACCATTTTTGAACCTGACCAAAAGGCTATGCCAAAACTGGGAAACTGTCTGAAAATGGCTAAGTCTGGCAACATGTTTGTCAAGCCTTCTTTGGAGTTCAATTTGAGAAGCATGGATGCGAGTCAAGTCCAGGGGCCTCTACCACGTTAAATTACGTATTTTTTTTATACAAAGGCAAGGCATTGGATGAAAGATTGAATATCTTTAAGGCTTCAAAAAAAAGGCTCGACGAAGACTGTTTTTCTGGCAGCTTGCTTGTGCTCGAAGTCTGCCAGAAAAACAGCTTTCGTAGAAACTTCGACCCTTTTGTTTGAAGCCTTACAGATATCCAATCTTTCATCCAATGCCTTGAATTTGTATATAAACATACCTAATTTAACGTGGTAGAGGCTCCTGGACTCGACTCGCATTCATGCTTCTCGAATTGAACTCCAAAATAGGCTTCACAAACACGTTTTCAGACTTAGCCATTTCGAGGCAGTTTCCCAGTTTTGGCATAGCCTTTTGATGAGGTTCAAAAATGGTCTTCTGGACTTCCTATCGAGCTCTCAATCACTTCAATAGGTAGAGGGACACTCCAGCTTCAAAACAAGTCATTAGTCTTCAATTTCCATCTAGCCAATTGTATGATATGAATATCCAAAGTAGGCACCATGAACTGTTTTTACACTGAAACAACAGATTAGGTCGACCTGATCCTATATGAGGTCGACCGAATCCTAAATGAGGTCGACCAGATCCTATATGAGGTCGACCGAATTCTAAATGAGGTCGACCTAATTCTAACTGAGGTCGACCGGAAAGTGCAAGTCACCATGACATGCATGTCACCGTAGGCACACCCTAATATATTTGTCTGCCCCAAATTTTTCCATATTTAACATATTGACCAATACTTTTGATATTTAACTCTTTTTCTTATAAAATAAACCTTTGAATTTGGTTCTTAGCAATAGCTTGTATGAATAATTTTTACTTTTGTGGAGCATAACCAAATTCTGAAATGAAACTTGACATTGCGTTGAAATGTCAGCCTTTGTTCATTACCAAGGCGTTCGACTAACTTGCACATTGTTAATAGTTATACAAAGCGGTAAACGATGTCTGATTTGTGAACTTCTGATCGTTGAAATTGCGTATGTTTTCTTGACGATACTAATAGTTGCACTAGTATTACAAGAGAACATATGAATAGAGGTTAAGAAAATAAGAGGATCAACCTTATACAAAGACAATACACGAGAGGATTACCTACATATAGAGCTTAACGAAATTGATAAAAAAATACATTCATTAAACAAAAAAAAAAAAATGGTAACCCTTTCCCCCTCTCTTCCTAGTTTAATTTATATGGTATATAGTCTCTAAAAAATTCGACTATCTCCTTAGTCCAACTTGATCATGACCCATTGACGAGATCTATCGACGAAGAGATCGTACAGGAAATGACTCGTGACTACCAGATGAGGCTGATACGGCCAGAGATCCTCTCGCCTTCTTCGGGAACGACAGGTTCCTCTCCGAGGACCAAAGTCGAGAACATTTACCTTTCAGCTTGTGAAGTGCACACTCACAGTTCTTATGGTACGGTCTCCTCTCGATCACCGTGTCGCTAATCGATAAGCTCCCCTGCAACAACGCACATCGAACCATCATGCTCGCTATCGAGTCGGCCATTCGATGCTACTATAACCAATTTATCTCCTCACCCAACCCAAGCAATTTCAAAACAAGTAGTTCTACAATATGAAAGTATTGTCTCTCTGGTTTATGTTTGAGTGGAGGGTGGTTTTTTGGCCTCACACTCCCAAAGGTCTTTATATAAGGAAAGTAGTTATAGGAAACTATGGTAGAAGAGAGTTCTTCTGCAAGCTCTAGGGGGACAAATTTTGGACTAATTGTTCCCACCAAACCAATGCCAGGTGGAACTTATATTTTTAGACCCATTTTAGGCAAAAAAAAAAAATGTTTTCACTGTTAGCCCTTCCTTTGTTTTCTTTGGGGTGACGCATTTTGTTAATTATAACTAATTCTTTCTGTGTTTCGTTTGGGGATGTTTCATTTCGTTATACTGTTATAGCCTTATAGGGGAAGGGAACATATTCATAGTTCCCATAAAAGGTTCCTAAGTAGCCATTTTTTTTAATCTATTTCATCGCCTATACAATTACGATGTCACTAAAATAAAAAAGATCTTAGATTGTTGTACACAATACCTCGTGTTTAAATTAATTATTAATTATAAGAAAGTGGTTAAGTACTGTACATGGACATCTGCTAACGAGTTATTAAGATCAAATGGTTCTTGACATGGTAGCATAGCTGGTTTGTTTTTGAAGTCACACGTTCAACTCCTCACGAACGTCAATATTAATCGTTGTCTTAAAGCACATGGTATGGGGAGGCATGTGCAAACTTCAAGACCATGAGTCGGCTTTCGTTTGAGAGGGCGTGTAAGAAAGCGGTTAAGTACCATACATTGACCTCTTCTAACGACTCGTGTTATATATTGGGATCAAATGGTTATTGACATTAATATTCTTGGGGGTTGGGGTTGTCATAATTCATAAACCAACTGGTACCAATAACTCGAGTTGTTGGGAGAGACCCATGTAGACTACTTAACCACTTCCTTACACCCCCACTCAAACGAAAGCCAACTCATGAGCTTGACGTTTGCACAGGCCCACCATACCATGTGTTTGAAGACAACGGTTAATATTGGGTGTCGTGAGGACATGAACACGTGACCTCACGGACAAACCAGCTTTGATACCATGTCATAAGCCCAACTGGTCCCAATAACTCGACTTGTTGGAAGAGACCCATGTATGGTACTTAACCACTTTCTTACTGGGGTGATTTGAATACGAGATCTCTCGATCTTTATATACTCTGATACCTTATGTAAAACACAAATTAATCTCAGTAGCTCGAACTTTTTTTGAGATGTTTAACATAGATCTTATATCGTTCCAGTTCTCTCAAACATATGTTTGTCATATCTTGTACTTAAGTCAACCATAAATATTGAGAATGATAAAATTTTGAATACAAAACATCACAATCACCATAATTTTTTATATCATGTCGAGAATCGGATTGATATCCTACTAAGGGCTAGTTTGACCCTGTTGTAGCTTTTGTAGAAGCAGTTTTTTGCTGGAGCTTTTAGAGAAGTACTTTTCAAAAAAAGTAGTTAAGTGTTTGGCTGAAAAACTTTTACAAGTGTTTTTTTATATGAGAGGTTGTGTAATACGAATAAAATTCCAAAGAATAAAAAGTAGTCAAAATGGATCTTGTTAGATTTATTTTATATTAAATAATATTATTTATTTTTAAAATAATATAAATGAAATAAAATTAAAATATGGTAATGATAATCTTGTATTTTCAAAACAGCTTTTCGTAGAAGCTCCAAATCGGAGCTTATGCTTTTATTTTACACAAAAGCGCTTTTTGGCTTTTCAAATGCCGAGCTTTTAGAAGGGTTTGACACTGTTTCAGTTTTTAAAACCGAAATGTACTTCTAAAAGTCAGACCAGACATAAACTAACTTGGAATATATCAGGTACATATTTTGCACCGTTATCTTACATAAGTACATTATTGCAACGACAAAACAGATTTTTAGTTCCACGTCCATAAAAACGTAAAACAGAAAGATATTTTAGGTTAAACGTACGTGGAATAAGTTGGGTGGCCGGTGGGCAAAGAATCTTTAGCTAATCACTATTATTAAATTTAATTTCTAGGCGATGAAAAAGCTAGGAATGTTGGCCACGTAGGGAGATTAACAATAATTAATTACTTAGGAACCTTAACTTCTCTTCTAACGAACTGAAGTACCTAAACTGTTCGCCGGCCGCCTGCCGGGGAAAGCTATATATGCTATATATATACAGCAAAATGCACCTTGTTATATTCAACTACAAAAACAAGGAAAATTACAAAATGCTGATATTTCTAAAAAAAATATGATGAAATAATTAGAACTTTCCAAATCCGAGGACTAATTATGCCGGTACTCTTGGAGGAATCTATATTCAAGGTTAGTTGGTGGGAACAATCGGTCCAAAGTTTCCCCTCCATAGTTAACTAACATAGGTCGTGGTGGACAATGTGTCAATCGCGAAATCATTTGATTCGGTAATTGTTAGCACATTATGACGTATAACTTCAACTATGGATATTGAGATCATAGCTTGATTCGAAGTTCTCTCAACTCGAATGTGTAATATGATTCTTCAATAAGTAGTGAAGATCGATGCATAATATACAAGATAGCAAACTAATTGTGTCTTGATTCACAAATTTTGACACAAGATCATACACCAAAACTTGTACACTAACCATAGAGGACATGATTCGAAATTAGATAGTTGAACTATCATTAGTTGGTATGCTAAATGTTGAGAAATGTCAACACATATTGATTATAATTAAGATTGAGTAACAGTCAATATTTCTTGATTGATCGAAAGGATTTTTAACTTAAAGCATGTATTGTTTACGTCACCAAATAAAAATCATTGACTTATTAACTACGAACAAATTACAAAGCTAGTTTTATTTTATTTTTGTTCGAATCGAGTTATGAGTCAAAAGACTTGAGCTCCACCAAACTTCCGGACTTCAAATACAGTTTTTTATAATGAATAGTAAAAATTATTTGACATTTAAAACAAGTCATTAAACAAACTCTTGGCATATGAGAGGCACCCCAACTCATCCCATGAAGAAAGAAAGTAAAAAGATACTGAATAGATATTTGGATAGAAAAGAATATGATCTGATATATTTTGATTCAATTTTGATCCTATGAATTATATTAAATATGGCAAAAAAAAGGACTGGAATATTATATGGACCAGACGAAGAATCAAATGAACAAAACATACTTTAGTCCGATTCTAATCCTCATTTTCATTTATTTTTTGTCTAGTCCTAATTCTATTCGATCCGGTTCTGAACCGAGTTGACCCGTACCCACCCCTACACTAATATCATCATAATGGCTTCGTCCACCAAACATGTATCAATGATCGATGACCAAATGGCTGTAGCCATGAGAAATGAAACCTAGTTCCGTCGACGGAAGTAACGGCAGGTACCAAATACGTAATTTGCTAGGACAAGCAGGCAGGACATTTCTTAAGTCAAGCTGAAACTACTTCTTTCCCATCCCAGCAAGGCAGTCAAAGCTTCAATTCAACTTGTCTTCCACCACGACAGAGCAGTCATTCTGAAGGACAAACAATGCACTTTGCACAAGGCGAGGGAACTGGTAGCTTTGCAACCGGAAACTTAGGTAAGGGGATTAGTTGCAACAAAATCTGTTTAAGTGCTAACCCTGCAACATTATTAGCACTTAAGTGCCATCGGGTGCAATTAACCCTTAGTTTAGATAACAAAAATACATATTGAGACACTATCGGACAACACGAATTTGCGCTTATTATAAAGTGGTACTTTCATCTCTATTCAAAATTTTCACAACTACTATTGAGAACTTTATATAAAATTTGAAGTAATAAACTTCTGGTTTGTATTTGATTCAATCACAAAACTTACAAAAAAGCATTAGAACGGCTTTCTTGCATTACATCATCATTTATCAACCTACATAGCTTGCTTGCGAAAGGGGGGAATTTTTTTAGCAACCTCCTAAGCTTAATTCCCCTCTATTCTCTCTACCCAATTCGCTATCTTCTTTAATTCCACTAGATGACTCAACATGTACTGATGAAGATTGTGAATGAATCAAGCTGCTGGAAGAAACTGCCATGGCCAATGAACCCGATATCCTCTTCTTCGAAAACGATACATTCGTCTGTGCAGACCAGATATGAGAACAGTTACCTTTCAATTTGTGAAGCGCGCACTCACAATTCTTATGATATGGTCTTCTTTCAATCACCGTGTCGTGGATCGACAAGCTGGAGCTCATGCCAGCTACGCAATGAGCCAGCATGTTCGATATCGCATTCGCCATCCTCCTTTTCCGATCCCCGACCCTCTTTCTTTCTACCGATTCGATCGCGCGATGTTACTTCTTTCCGTTGATCTACGCGAGAGAATATTGGTACGAATCTCGAGTTTTGGGATGTTACTTCTTTGTGGTGCTTGCTTGATAGATCTTTGGATCGGATGCTTTTTTTTTGCACACTCTCTAAACGGTCCTTTATATAGTGAGCAAATGAAATTACAATGGTGAGTGAGGTTAGCTGAAGTGCTCCCGAATCTCGGGAAATTCAAAGATCGGTAAAAATTGGACTGATTGTTGCCTACAAAAAAACGTGAGTATTTCTCTAGACAAGCTAAGTAACTAACGTTGTTGATTTTTGGCAGTTATATGTTCTGTTTTTACTGCTCTAGTTATCTTCACCACCGAATCTTTTCCTTCAACTAACGAGAAAGGAGGAATCTACTGCATAGTTTTCACCACCGCTGTTAGTTATTAACTAACTTGGCATGCTTTGCCTCTTTCTAGTTGAGCAACGGAATTACTTATAGTTCTCATCGTACCATAGCTAGGTTTACCGAATAACTAACTTCTCTAGCTTTAATCGTTAGTCATGATTACACTAAGTGACTAAACTAAAGATTCTGGTTTGGTTTCGAATAAACTTAAACTCAACTTGTAAATATCTACATAACGATCCAACTCATTTGCCATCTCGATTTATACCGCGTGGGACAAAATTAAGAAGATTTAGTTGTCTAGCCGTTAACCATGCATCTAATGGTCTTATTTTACTTGACACAAAACAAAATATTAGATAACAAGTTCGTTGTTGTTTGGTCAATACCGAGACGTATTGAAGCACATATTTGTCTATGAAGTTCTATAAGGAAGTGATTAAGATTCATATATGGGTCTCTCCTAATAACTCGAGTTATATGAAACCATTTGGTTTGTGACTTGATATTAGAGCTTGTTTCTCATTGAGGTCACTTGTTCAACTCCTTGTGATCCCAATATTAATTAACCGTTGTCCTAAAACACATAATATACTGCAGACTTGAAGCCCGTGAGTTAATATCCATACATATACATCTCACAACAATTCGTAGTATTGAAATTCGTTGGTTGATAACATCTTTGAGGATTTTTTTTTTTTATCGATTTGTCGGGATTTCGATGCAACTTATATATGCTAATTGGCTCGTGGTTATTGAGCAACGTGACGTCGTTGCTTTTCCCGGTAGAACATATAGTTATAACAAACTTCTTGTGTGATTCTTGCAATCGTACTTCTTGTTGGGTACAAATTAGAATCTAAAGTACTAAAGAAAGGCACAATGTTTCCCCCTTATTCGAGACAATCTCCTTGTTTTCTCCAAACATGGGCCCTGGTTAATGTTATCATCATTTTTACCGTCACTGGTTGGTTACGCACATTTTAACTGCCTTTCTTTCTTGTTGTTGGCAGTCAATTCTGTTATAATATATTTCTCCCTAATTAGTTACGTTACCTCATATTTGTCATTCATCTCCCTTGATTAATTTCTTCATAGAGTACTTCTGATCTCTTTGCTTTGATATCAGCTGGATAAATGGAAGATTCTGCCACGCAGTAGAAGCAGAATCTTATGGAATCCGAAAACAAAGGGTACTTTGGATCCCTGATGGTGGAATCCGACCGAGCGAGGTGCTGAATTGCTGCTGCGGGAGATCATCAACAGGGAGAAAGACACGACTAAGGTGGATGTGAGTCATCTTTTTTGTGGCTGATTATAAATGCTCTAATATTCTCGTCCGCAATCCCCCGATTCATGACAAGAGTGGGCGAATGAGGGTTTGTCTAGCGGTTTTACAGTTAGTTTTCAACCTGTGTTAGGTCCACTCAACAATTGTTTTTTAGTGAATGGACACTATATTCACTCGAATTCATCCGACTATAACCAACCCAATTAACCTATTTTTTTATATATCTAAAAAATGCCATTCGTAATTGGTTCAATTAAATGATATTTTTTTTTATAAGTTACAGCATAAAAGTATACATCAATTAGTTAAAAATATAATAACATTCTATAAATATTTGTTGGTAATTAGTAAATGAGATGATTGATGTTAAATTATGCAATAAACTACGCGTAATGGTTATCAATATTTTTGAGTTTTGTAGCTTTGATATTCTAAGTAGCTTATTGAAAGCTTTCATGTACCATAACGATCTTATAATTATTTTAAAAATTAATCAAACAAAACCGCCAAATTCACCCACCATCTGCCATCACCGCACCCATAGCGATAAAAATAGCTGGTGTGGATTAGGGATGGCAATCAGCCCGCGGGCTTTGGGTATCCGCTAGGGCCCGCCCGTGTGGAATGGGCCGAAACCCGCGAGAGCGGTTTAGTTGGCGGAGTCGGGCAGACCCGCGGCCCGCGTGGCTCGGTGACGGGCTGGGGACGGATGCTGTGGTACCCGCCCCGTATCCGGCCCGGGAGCAAAACGACGACGAGCAAGCCTAGGTATAAAGAGCCTTTTTTCAGCTAGGGTTAGAGGAAACTCATTTCAGCAGCCGCCTTCCTCTTTCTTCCCCCATTTTTCTCAGTAGAAATCGCGAGAATCGCCGATTTTCAGCAAAAAATCCACTCGTTCCCGGTGATTTCTCCTCCTTTCTCTTCGATTCTTACTCGAAAATCGACTATCCCATGACAAGAAAGCCCATATCTTGTTGTTTACCAACACTACAACCACCTAAAATGTCTCGATCGATAGAAATCCCCTTCGACTCGTCAATCTCAATCTTGCATGCGAACGATTTCTTTCCCAGATGGCTAGATCGAGATAAGTATTCTTTTTTTTTTTTTGTTACCTTAATTCACTTTTGCTTGTTGTAGATGTATAAATAGATGACGAATTCGTTATTATGTTCATCTGTTCTTTACTAAATACATTGCTTTGTAACAGATGGAGCTGGAACTCAGGGGGAGCAGAGAGGAGATGAAGATGTTGCTGCTGAGGTCAACCTGCTGGACTAGCTCATGGTTGGTGTTTTAACTTTTGAGCTCTAAGTTTCCTATACGAAAAATGCATCAGTATCAAGTGTTGAATGTTTAATGAAACTGTCCATTGCAGATTTTGTCCATGCTGGGCTGCTGGGTTGCTGCTGGGTTGATGTTGGGTTGCTGCTGGCCTGATATGGGTCTGGCGCCTTGAAGAATGATTGTTGCTGGCTTGCTGGTTGCTGCTTATTTATTTTTGGCTTTTAGATTGTGTTCTGTGGTATTTTAAGGTTGCTGCTTGCTGCTTGAAGAATGATGTTGCTGGTTTCTGCTTATTTATTCAGACTTTAAGACTTTACTTCTTAGTTTTCACAAGTTCTGTTCTGTGGTGTTTTAATTTTAAGGTTAGAATCCTCTATTTCCAGACAGGTTTTGGGGTTTGCAATTCGTGAATAATGCTGGAATAGTGCTGGTTTTGGGGTTTCCAGACAGGTTTATAGTGGAATGCATTATGTTTTTGTTTTTCCTTCATATTTGAGTTCATTTATTATATACAGGTTTAGGTTAGTTGATGATTTTTTGCTGTGTTTCATTAGGTGTTGGCGGGCAGCCCCTTACCCGCGGGCTAACCGATGTCCGACTGGGTTTGGGCTTGGTCTCGATTTTATGCCCGTTTAGCTTAGTGGGCCGGGCACGGGTACAACCCGCGGGCAGGAATGGTGGGCAACGGATATAGGGTATCCGCACCGTATCCGACCCATTGCCATCCCTAGTGTGGATAATTTTTTCAATCACATGCCAAAATCTTGGATGAATGTATTTTAACATAAGAACCGTCCAACTAGGGGTGGGCAATGGGCGGGTTGGGTGGTTTTTTGTTTCAAATTGACCCACCCGCTTATTAGCGAGTTGGAATAATTGTGACCTGCAATTCATCCACATTCTTCTGCGGGTCAGGTTGGGTGAGTGACGAATGAGTACGGTTAGGTCGTGGGTTAACCCGCAAAAGCAATTCCCCAACTAGCTATTAAGAAAGCTGACTAAAATTTATAATAAGTTCATAGTAAATTAGTAAGACTTTACCAATTTAAAAACTTCTCCCTTTTTCTTAAGGGGTCGTTTAGATTAAGAATTTTAAAATGAGAGATTTGAGGCCCAAATCTCTAATTAAAAACCCTGGAAATTTAGGACATGGGATTTAGCTCAATTCTTTGTTTGGCAATGAATCGGAGATTTAACCAAATTTAGCTCAATTACTCTTTTACCCCTTTTTCTTCGTTCCTTCTTCATCCTCTCATCTTCTCTGCCGGATTTCCTCCATCAATCCCCGGATGCCGCTGTTCAATACGAAAATCCCCGGCCACGTTCGCCTGAGGAGCAGAGGTGAAGAATCAACAAATCCCACTATTAATGAAGGCGTCTCTCATGCAGTGGCGGATTCAGGAATTTTAAATAGGGGTGTCCTCTTCAAAAACAATTAAAAATTAAAAATTAAATCAAATAATTATTAAATGTGAAAATATTCAACTAGTAAAAGTTAGAATAAAATTTCAAACTTGTTCGGTATTATGTAAGAATGATAAAATACATTCGGTGTATACACTGCTCAACACATCTCTCGTGACATATCCTACTAGACAAGGGTAACTCGTAATTGGGTTTAATGTTAGGTTTTGAAAATAATTGGGAATAAGAATAGTCCTTTACTATTATATTTTGATCTAAAACATAACTACAAATGAGTTGTAGTCTAACTGAAACTATATTTACTAATAGTAGCAGTGTTCCCAAGTTCAAATCACATAGACCCTATCACTTAAATATTATTTGTACTCATATGCAGAATACTATAGGAGGTTGGATAATCATTTTCCATATTTTAAGGGTGTCCCACTATCACTAATTTTTTTTACCCATACACAAACTACTACCGATGGTTGGATAATCATTTTTCCAAATTTTAGGGGTGTTCCGGGACACCCCTAAATCTCCATGTATCCGCCCCTGCTCTCATGTGATTTGGGTCCAATCTCTGC